AGTTTTGTCTATGGATTTATCCACAGGCATAAATGAGTTGTGCCCGTTTATTTCGCAGTCGTTATGAACAACGGAAAGAGTAGGGGCTATGGCTTCGTCCGATTCGCATCAGAGGCGGATCAAGATCGAGCACTGATAGAAATGCAGAACTATTCAGGTCTAGGGTACAAACCCATTCGTGTGAGCTTGGCCATACCCAAGCGCTACACGGCTGATGGACAACTCATTCAAGCGGCCAAAGATGAACAGGCGGCCGCGGCCTCCTCGTCGTCTCTCCTCCCAAGTGGTAATTTGCTTTTCACTCCTTTTTTATCTGTATGCGAGAGGAATCACAAATGATCGTGTTCGCACGAGTTGAAGGGCTACTGATGTATGCAGAAATTAAGGAAATAAGTGTTCTATTTTATTATTATTATATGATAATTTTGTGTTTATAGCTTTGTGTTGCCTGTTTCAACTTAACCTTTACATGTGTTACGGTAATCACCTTCAGACGGAATCATTCGAAGCCACTCACTCCGCCAGGTGCGAAACAACATTTCTTTAAGTCTTGAGCCTTGCATCATATTACAATGTTGGAAATGCAAGGTGGCCTTACGAGCATTAAACACTTTCGTCCTTCGTGCGTATTTTTCGTTCACTTAATCCGACAAGTTCCTACAGAATCATACATTAAATTTGCTCATTTAAGGAGAGACAATCAGACCCTTCTTTGAATTCGCTCAACTATAGATGTTTTTGTTTGTTCTAAGAAATACAGAATGAGTGGGTGCATTGTGCATTGGAGATGAGAACTACCACAAAAGAATCTGTAAATACGCTTATATGTGAAGGTAAAATAGCTGTAAGTACTTGTTTGTTTGCGTTTGGAGACGTGTCATATTTTTTACATCACTGGCTCTAACAGAAGTCACTTACATTGAAAACTGATAACATGAGGTAAAGCGAAATGACGCGAGATATTTTTGTTCTATTCTTCGCTAAGGTATGCCGGATCCCTTCACTGCAGCCGTGGCTGCCGCAGTGAGTGGGAGTTCACAGGCTCAGGCGGAGTACTATCAGGCCTATCAGCAGTACTACCAACAGTACTACGCGGCACACTTTGCGCACTACAACTATGCAGGTGGGGGGGCAGGAGGCGGTGTTGGGGGCGAGGGAAGTGCAGGGGAACAGTCAATCGCCGCTGCGGCTGCCACTCTTGCCTCTTCCTATGACGGTGTCTTTGCCGCTGCTGCTGCTGCTGCCAATGGGGCTGAGGATCCGCTTTATGAGCACACTCCAGGTGAGCTGTGTTCCTCTGTTTTTTGCACAGTCGTTCTTGCCTACTCATGTAATGAACTGCCATGAAAAGTTTCCAAAGCTACTAAGTTTGCATCATTTTTTGCACTCTTCAGAACCTTCCTCACTGTCAGCGGCATTCGATCGGCCTCGACATGTGCAAGACATTGACGAATGCTTCAGTTTCCTGGAAGCGTCGCGATGGGACTTCACGAATCCGGACCTACCTCTTCTCATCAGCTCTGTTCCTTATTGAAAGCTTCTATTCCCTTTTGTATTGTCACCATTTTATAAAGATTAATACACTCATTGGTGGTTTTTAAGGTGCTGAGTGATGTTGTGTCGTGGGTCGCGGTCATTGCTCCGTCCAATCGTGAGGACGCTTGCAGTGGGGTGGACACGCGTGGCGGGGGTTTCTTCGGTGGCTCACGCTTGGTGAATATCGAGATTGTCATGAGGGTTTGAAGATGGTGAAACTTAAGAAATCATCGCACCCAATCTCCGTAATTTAGAGGATGTCGATCTGGAACTTTCAAACATTTAAACTGCCAAGAAATCAAACCTCAAAATAAATTTTTATTTAAAAAATTGTACATTGTTTTGAAAAATTTTGCTTTAAGGGCAAAAAATGCACAAATCTTACAGTTGTTATAGTGCTATAAATTAGCCCGGATTAATTGGCAGGTTACGGCGATCTTGACCGCGTAATATAAGCAAGTGTGTACTCACTGGCGCTTTTAGCTAGTGGTACCCGTAATTTTATAAGGTAGATTAGCAACAAATATTAATGTACACATTGCAGAGGCAACCGGCACAGTTGGTGGGAATATCATTCTTCATATGTATTATGGCTGTACTTGAATTTGGCAGTTTTGGTTTCAAACACCAGGATCCTTTCTAATTCTACTGTAAATGTGCACTGGGGAACGTGGCTATGATTTCCTTTCTCTTTGTCTCTATTTCCCATTCTTTCCCAACATGGCTAATTTTCTGTTCCGTAGCTTACCTTCATGACCACGTCTGGTTAACACTTTCCGTTACAGGTGCCGTTGTTTTATTCGGTCTGAGAAATGGACAGCGATAGCACTCTTCCTGCTACAGATGACTTTGGCTCCAGGTTCTTGGAAATGGATGAGTACGATGATGAGAATTATGTCAGTCAGCTCACTTTCGATACCATTTTATTTTTAATTTGCCATAAAGTTATTCCCCTTACATCTAATGGCTTTCCAGGAAGCCATCTCAGAGGAATCACCTGAAAGTACAAATCGATCCGTACTAGGAAAACGCAGAAGAAAACGAGCAGCTTCTTCGAAACGGGTTCCTTCGAAGCGACAGGTTATCACTACGAAAAAAATTCGTCCAGTTCGTCAAAGTCGTCGACCTCCGGCTCGGGTCACGGATGCCTACACCGGCAGCAGTGATAGTGACAGCGAACCAACCACCATGTCAACTCCAGTCACTTCTCGAAGTCGAACACGTCTAGGCTATCAGAGCTCTCAGAATTCCCTATGGACTCTTGAGGATGTAATGATGCCCTCTGATAAAGCCACAGACCAAGGTGGGATCTCGACCGCCGTCGCCACCCTCACTCCTGAGCAGTTGGAAATTCGTCAGCGTCGGATTGAGCGTCGGCGTGAGTCGGCTAAAAATAAGGCGGAGAAGGAGATGCAAGACACCGTGGAACGCCTCCTTCGCGTTAACACAGAGTACGCAGGTGGCTCAGGCAACAGTGGTGGACGCGGTCGATTGCGCCGTACGGCTCCCTCAGTTGAAATGGGTGCTGATTCAGAGGATTCAGAGGGGGAAAAAAAGAAGAGAAATGCTTTGCATCCCTCCTTGCCGTTGGATCCCCCACTTGGTAGCGTGCGTTTTATCTCTTCCCTGCGCATTCAACCCCATTGTCTCATTGCTCTTCCCGCAGAAGTAACTGAGGGAGAGAACTATCTCTTGCTTCGTTCTCAACTTGCTCCACCTCCCCCAAAACTTCGGCTTTGTGAGCAATGTCATGCGGCCCCACGGCGATATGCTTGTGCTCGAACTGGACGTTCATTGTGCAGCCTAGAATGTTTCAGAGCCTGTTGAATGTCTATGTACAGCTTACTTTTGTAGCATTTCTATCACATCTTCAATCAGCCACGATCACGCAACGTGTGGTGAATGGTAGTGTTTGTGAATGCGTACTATGATTCTGCAAAAAATCACTTCTTTGTGTTCTATTGTTCAAATAGAGTGTAATTTCGCGTTTTCAAGGCTTTTACACTCATTGGTAAGTAATTCATTCCTTTATTAGGTTATCATTAGTACCATTGAATTTCGTGACCCCATAATAAATTGTTCCAGTCAAGTCGCTTAATTGCTCATAGTTAGTCCATGCTTTGTAAGCACGGGATCTAAGTACGCACAACATTCGTGCGTCGAACACTTACGACTAGTTAGACACTTCTCACTTAGTTACGTAATTCCTCCTTTTTATACAACTACATTAGCTCAAACCTGTCAATGGGTTGGACAGATTGGGTTAAAGGTGAAATCCGCTTCTACTTTATTCCTTCATGATGGTGGCTCTATTTTTGCTCAAATTGACTATACTCAATCACCACATTCAGTTGACTTGGATTAATCGAAGCTTGTAACACAATAAGTGCAAGTAAAGTTTAACCAGGAAATGTTTTCAAACCTGTGAAATCACTGGTTGGAATGAGTACACGACTCCCTACTTAGAAGTGTAGTAAAATTCTTGAGAGATATTCAAAAAGGGGAGGGTGAAAGTCGTGAATTAGGTGATAAGTCCTTTGACACAAGTGGAGTAATCAATCGTAATCGGTCAAATTCAACGTTCACTTCATTAGTCTCATGCACTTCATGGGCAGTCATGACCTTTCTGTTTTGCTTCCTTTTGTAGGAGACGTTTTGTACACCTGCAACGCACATTTTCTCTTTATATCACATCTTTTATTTTTGGGGAAGTCTTGCTAATCGGTATTGGGAATGGAAGGAAACAGTTCCGAACCCAAGAGTCACCCATCTCTGGATTTTAATAACGAATGCACTTCCCAAGAGTACAAAACGTTTGCTCTGGTCCACTGGTGCTTTATAACTCTAAGGAAATGCATTAGATATTGCAGTAACACTACCCGCTATCTATCTAAGGAGGTCACACTAAGAAGCTGTCGGTCTCTTCTGCATGATGATATCAGCTAATAAAGTAGCGTTCTTCCACTCAATTTCCTCATACCTAAAAACAGTGGTATAGTTCAACGGCTCTAAAGCGGAAGCAATGTCATAAGGAGAAATTGATTTAGTTCATTACTTCGAAGACACCGTCGTGAGTGTCCCTTTTTCGGTCATTATTTGGGCAATAAATTATGGGTATACGTGACTTCCACGGCGATTATCATTCCTTCCGGAAGTTCTTAAAAAGGACTGTACTCGAAATAGGCATTCGACAAATAAAGTGCATTTTTCTACATAGATTAATTCATGGAGTTTATTAAGGGAGTCCTAGGAATGTCCTGCTAGGTACTCTGCTTAATTCTTTATTCCGATTTCTGTCTGATGACAAGAAAAACATTTATTCGCAAAAACCTAAATGCAAATTACGATGTCCCAGGTCTTCTTTGTAGAGGGAGGATGGCTTAGGGGTCGAACGCTTCTCCTTGGACCTTCGATGGGTTGCGAGCATGCCTGTATCGAAGTCCATAACCGCTCGGGATTGGCGTAAAATGTCGGCTCCTAACAGTACGCTCAGGCTAGTTCTGGGCACAGCACGAAATTTACCTCCCAGCCGTCATTCTCGATTGAGATTGATAGATGCTTCTCCTAGTACCGAGATTCCTTTTCCTTCTGCAGAGCGTAGTCTAGTAGCCGGTGAGATAATATTGACCTTGCTGTGGACCATGGGGAAGGCTTTTGGATTTAGTAGGGAACGATCTGCCCCGAGTCCAAAAGAAAAGAGCATGTGTTACCTTCTAGCTTGTTCCGTACGTGCATAAAGGCAGAACATCGTAAGGGAGGTAGACAAGATAAAGAAAATTGTGTCTTAATTTGCGTTTAGGGTCGGCTTCGGAGCGCACGCCTTTGCCCGCCAGTTGAGAGTTGTAACGCCTGGGGCTTAGCTAGTGCTCCGCAAACGAGGCGGAACAATCTGCTAGTCCTCAACTGCATTAGTTATTCTGCCAAGGCAGGCGCACGTACACCCCCTTTTGAACTGGGCCGCTATCCACGAGGCAACCAGCAGAGGACAACAATCCCTGAATGCCTGTTTGACTAATGACTGGAGATCGCCAACGAAGTCATCATCACTCCTCCTCGGTTTTTGTAACCGGTAGAAAAGTCAGAATCAAGAATTCGTCCTTCTGAAGGGATGTCAATTAGATAAAAACCACACGGCACTCTTCTATATCCGAGGAAAGCGCGACACCTGCATCCATTGCTTCTCGACGTAGATCATAGGGCAAAGCGCGGAGTAGCAATGGCACTCTCCTGGCAGGATCGTAGAGATTGAGCTCTGCCTTTGTAAAACAGAGCCAGTTATCGAAATCAGTGCCTTCTTTGAAGGGAGGGATGTCGACCGGCGCTGTCAGCGTGTAAGAGCCGCCTGCCTACCCTCCTGCCTTTAACCTCGGGCTTCAAGAGAAGGTTGGTTGTAGATGATTTATTTGACATTTGTTACAGGAAGAAAGAGCATTGGGATGCATATGAGCCGAATAGGGGATATCCTCTTGGGAGAGACCCCCTACCGCCTTCGCCCACGTGATTCGCGCCCAAATTGGTTTCCACCTCTCTACTGTAAAAGTCCACTTAAACAAACTAACATACATTAAAATGTACTTCCTGTTTTCTGACAACCATCTGCAGCAAAACTTTAATTTAACGCGTTGCGCGGGCAATCGAATCGAATAACGCATTAAGTGCGTTTTGGCTGTATTACAGAGTGATTACAAAGATCTTTCGCTGACTAAGATCACTCCAAATTTACAGTTAGGTTAAGTAGTGGAAAGTCCTCCCCCATAATTTGGTACATCCATATAGCTAAAGTTAAATAAAATTGGAGAAAAGCTGAGACTCCACACCAAGTAGAGGTAGTTATTAAGTTGGGCTGCATATATGCATTCCAGGAAAGGAAAGGAATTAGGTCCGAGCTTGGCACGAAGACCAGTCAATGCGTACAAGAATCGGACGAATAACAAAGTAAAAGCCAGACGTCAGGTGGCCGCAAGAATTATCTTACTGCTTCTCTTTTAGTGGCGACTTTGACGTTCTCCTTGGCACAATCCTTGACTTTCACAATATATTCGGTGCTGCAAGAAAGCATTTACGAGTCAGCCGCGCTAGTCTACAGATACTGGGGAACGATACTTGGGCTCCTAAGCGCCATAAACTGGTCCTGGATTTGCGTTCGGTCAAACAGCCGGAGACTCGGTTGTGTACACATGTTGACCATCAATTAGTACCAGGGCTAGACTATGAAACTCTGATCTAAAACAGATTTGTTACAACTATCAGACACAGTCTCATACATGAGAAAACCCACAGTGTTATTTCCAACACCCATAAACGGATGTGTTAGGGCAAACTGTAGGTATATGTCACAATCGGTCGATAATCTAAATGAGTAGTTAAAGGAGTCGGATTCATTTTAAGCTGCCTCCAGTGTAGAATTCCAAGACTTCTTACCATGTAGAAGAAGGCAAAAAGTGGAGCTGAATAAATTTATTTTAATGAGGAAAGGGATTAAGACTGAGTTTGACCCAAAGGCTTAAGGCAAGGATTTACAAAGTCCGTTTCACTTAGATACTAGCAACAGATGTATTACACTGGCTAACATTCATAGAGTTAATTATTGTACTGCTTTGCTTATGTGACTACCTGACGTTTGGTGGTCACTTTGGGATTTGTCTGAACCCTGTACAAGTGGGCTGGCCTTCGGGACACGCTCAGACCCCATTTGCTCTGTCTTTTTCGGAATACATGTATTGGCATTCACTTATGCCTTCTACTACTCTGTAGGAAGTCTGGAGACGCTACAATCACACAAATACAGTATCCAGTGTCTTCTTTGGCCTTTGCGGGAATGCCCGTTGAATAATGTTAGAGGCCTATGCAGATCTGTTGGCTCAGCCGATTTTATCACCAGTGTGAATGATGCTAATCAGCGTAGCAATATGATCGATATACGTTTTATAAGTTCCCTGAATACTCATATCGAGTATGACATGAAAACCAGGAGATTTGGTGATGGCTGCACATATTCAAAATTTTCTGTACATGCTATGTTAATGTAGGACTTACAAGACTATGTATCTAAAGCGTTCATTTTACCTTAAGCCTATTAGTGCATAAGTTTATACGCAAAGTCAATAACCTATCACACACTCCTTGTTTAACTTGATCCCTGGTCCATATAAGCCGTTAGGGTTGGGTTTTCAAAAATCTAGTTAAATGGGCCGTTCGAATTGCGGGCTAAGGAGCAATACCAAGCCAGTTTGCCTTGCTTCTGTAGAGGTTCTAAATTCCCTTATTCTTAAGGTATTTTTACTTTTGGATATTGTATCCTTTGCTCGTTCTCTTTTAAAAGACAATTTAGTCGCTTTCAGCTGGGTGTGTTCAGCGCCTTCAAAGATGTTCTTCCTGTCGCAAATTTACTTTTTTTCAATTTTAGCTGTTGGATTCAGGTGATGTTTCGGACAAGGCTTTTAAAGAGACGTACCTGTTTCTCGAGAAAAGGGCGATGAAGCTTTCGAAGGATTATGAGCTGCTGCGCGTCGAGAAGGAAAAGCTGCTCAGAGAAAGGGTGCAGTTTTTGCCTCACTCGTTTCTTTTAATGTCAAACGGCATCCATGGTTCCAATTTCTGTTTTCTAGGAGACTTTGTGCGGCAAACTGAATCATGTTGAGGAGCAGAATCGAAAGTTAGGCGAAGAGGCCCAGCGCCTCCAGCGACAACTTGAGGTCATTCGCGAAGTCCTTCGTGACAATGACATTGATAAAGCTAAAGAGCGTCTTGCTCAGCTGGGAGACAGTGGTTGGGCTGGCCCACCACCACCACGTAGAGGTGTAAGTGGTCGCGCTGATCATTCCGCCGGTTCTTTGCTTGAATCTGAAAATACATCGTCTGGTGATTCTGAGGCTGAGTCAAAAAAAATAAGGCAAGCTTATATATGCGGCTATTACCTTAAAATGCTTGAATACAAGCGATTTTATCCTTTTTAGACTGGTTGGTCGCAAAAAGTCTCACTCTGTGGGAGGTATTCCTCGTCCCTCGGCGCGACTTAGCACTGGGAAAACCTCGAAAACGCCCCTTGATGACCATGTAAATATTTTTCATTTGCTATATTCTTCGGAAAATCTTACGCCTTTCTTCTTGTAGTCCCCTTTCCCTGTGGCGGAATCTTTGATTCCTCGTAAGCGCGCTTCATCTGGCTCTGCTGACAGTTACCACGACATTGCATTCAAAAGGCTTGCTTTTGATGGAGCAAAGCTTGACTTGCATAATGTAATGGGAAGTATTGATGGTGCTCATGATGCAAATGTTTCTACTGCCCAATTAGACGTTAACGGTTTCAGAACGCCTCTTCGGCCGGCGGTACGTTCGCCTTCATTTGAATTAATTAGATGTCCACTTTAATAGGCGCGGAGTAATCGGCTGACTCGTCTGCATCAATTTGTGTCTATCTCGTCATTACGCCTCCAAATGTGCGGTTGCTGCGGTAAACGGTTTGCTTTAGGCAAACCTGCTCTTCGTTGCAAGATTTGCAGGCTTGTCGTCCACGAAAATTGTCGGAATCGGGTAAGAGAATCATCCAGCTCTCTTGCTGCTTATCAGCTTCATTGCTAGAGTTTTGGGTAACTCCTATGCGCTTTTCTTTCAGCTAAAGCAGCGCTGTGTGCCTCCGACGGATCTTTCTCCATCTCCTGACCGCGTGCTTCGATCTGCGATCACTCCGCTATCTACGCCGCTTTCGCGACGCCGTCCCAACGTATCTACTATCCGCGCATCACCAGTTATTGCGACACCCTCCTCAAGCAAGCGGGGGGTTTTTTTATGGCACTCCATCTCTCTTGCTTCCCTCTGCCCTCCTAATGAATTTCCTCGAATTCCTGCTCCTGTCATTCACTGTGTCAACGAGGTAGCTGCCAGAGGTCTTCTTCAAGTTGGCATCTATCGTATCCCTGGCGCTGAGAAGAAGGTTTTTGGTTCGTGTGCATGGAGTTAAACTGTTGTCCCACGGTGGATTCTTTTCATCGGAGTTTGCCTTCAATTGTAGAATTGTTGGACAAGTTTATGCATTGTCGGACAACCCCTAGTCTAGCACTAGTGGAAGACATCAACATTGTGTGTTCTTGTCTAAAAGCCTTCCTCCGTCTTCTCAACGAGCCATTGGTCACGTTTGCCCTCCGTCCGGAGTTTCTTGAAGCTGCAGATTTGACTATTCGCGATCCTGAGGGCGCCAAACATCGGGTAGCCACTTTAATGGACAAATTACCCGTTGCTAATCGTGACACGTTGGCTTTTATCATTCTCCATCTTAAGGTATCTATCATACCACGTCCTATCGGGTGACGGACATCGCCGTTCTCATTTTTTCCATGCTTTAGGCCGTGTCGAGGTCATCGGCGTGTCGGATGGGCGAGACCAATTTGGCCAAAGTTTTTGGTTACACTCTAGTCGGTCACTCATGCCTTGAGCCATCCCTTACACAGGCTGCTAATGAGGTGAACGGGCAGCAATCAGTAAGTCTTTTCTGCATGGGCTAAATCACAAAATTATCTGCTTCAGCGTTTGATTAAAAAATGCTGCCTTCAGCGCGGGGTCGATATGCTTAGCATAGGTAGCATGTGATTTTTCTGCATTTCCTAATGAAGTTTGGGGATATTATTTGTAGTGTGCTCAATTTCCGCTGAGTTTATATCAGCTAGGAAGGCGGATCGAGCGTTGTTGTCACAGGTTTATATTAAAGCTCTCTGTTGCCCCTGAGAGAGTTAAATTAATAGTAGAAAGGCTGGAAATGGGCTTAGAAATGTTCTTTCGTATCCTTTATTCACATTGCCATCCTGTTCTGTTTGGTAGGCTCAGCTCTTAATTAAAAAAGTTTTTTTATACTCGTATATTCGGATAGCATTCAAAATTCCTATAAGCTCTGGGAAACTGCGTAGAGAACAGTCTAGGACGGAAGATAGTGGAATGGGTTTTTGTGGTTTTCTGTTGCTAACACCTTTCCAATCCGTCATTCCTCTTAGCATGCTTGTCTAAATGATGCACATAAACGTACTCCACTTATTAGTTGTAATCATGAGTTGATATGTTCGGTACTATTTTAAAGCTGACCAAAGCAAAATCAATTAAGTTTTGGACTTCCTCTACCTCTGACGGTAACGCGTTATAATTTAACTTTCGTTGTAAATCTAGTGGTTCAGCTGTCCACTGCAGACACTTTCATTCTGTGGTGTTTGGGTGTGGTGACTTGTCAACGAACGGCGATTATGATCTAAGTAGACTTGAACATCACTGTCGATGCTCATTTCCCTGAAGGCCTTATAAAAGTTGAGAATTTGGTGGACGATTATTACAAAAGCTGCTGTTGCTAAGTTTCCTCTCTACCAGCTTGACATCCGATTTTCAGGTGGTATAAATGCCCACACAGTTGAGTGTACTACTGGGTCAGGTGCTGTCCATACCCTTGTTAATTTCGTTTTTTTCTTTCTCCTTACAGGTTGTACGTCTTCTGTTGTCTGTGCCAGACCTTGTGTACTCCACCATCCTCGAGTAATTGTCAATTCCTCTCTGTTCGTACGCGGCTATTTCGTATCTTAACTGCACGCCAAATCATTTCATATGTAGTTGAATATTTCTTTACAAAACTTCCCCTTTTCCCTGTACTAACTGGGTTTGTAAATGAACGGATTTTCACTTTGTTGCTTAAATTCCTTTTGATGAGCTAGCACCTTACGCTTGGAGGCTATTATGCAACCGCAGAAATGGGATTTCATTTCCTTTGCAGTTGGTGTCATACGAAACCCTTTGTTAGTGTGTGCATGACTGAAGTTCTTCACACCTGGTAATGGAGCATCGTTGTGACATCTTGATAAAATCGCCCATGTTTGGTGCATCATTTCCATTGTGGCTTCAGGGGTCCGCGTGATTGGACTAAATTATCCGACTTGAATCTTGTCACGTTTGTTTCTCTGCCAAATTATTGCTTTGTTGATTCAAGTAGCAACAGCTGTGAAGTTGGGTTCGGCACAGGGTGTCGATGAAAGCATTCTTGGGAAAAATCCCTTTTTAATGGATATTTATTTTTAGTGGTAAATGCGCTAAGTGTGGGAAAGGCCTGATGTAGGTTAGTCCTTTTGACTGAAATCTCGTTGCAACTGCGTTCCTCGGGCACCATGTTTTTGCCTTTGGGTCGAGTTGTAGCCATGACACTCGTGTTTGATGTGGGGGAGTTTTGTGCGCAGCTGTGGCCTCGATGCGATAACCTCGAATGTTTTGTTAATTTTATTCGAGCTCTCCTGACGGCGTTTAGAGCTTATCGCTATGTGTAATCTTGCTTGTCTCACGTACGACAAATGACTGGCTCATTAGGCAGTCATCTTCCAATAGGCTTAATGTTCTTAGGTTGTTGAACCCTTTATTCAACCTTGGGATCAAGGGAACGCGGATGAGATTTGGGTGCTTTCAAGCCCCTGCTGTAGATGGTCCTAACAATTGATGTCGTAGATGCTCCAGTTCGACTGCCTTCTCCACCCTTATGTTAGACACACTCATTTCACGACCCATTTCTCTTGGTGATTTAGGGTATTCGAAAGATTTCACTTAATGGCTGGCTAATCGGCGTCTGCCTTCCAGCACTCAATTGGTCTAGATTCGATGGTGACACACGCATGCTCCTGTGGTCAAACAAACACTGGTCAAAGTCGTTAGTTACTGTTGACGTGCAAATAGCTCTAAGTAATGCTGTTAAATCTTCGATGTTGTGCAGCTTGTGATGAAAATCGGTGCAATGCCTCAGTGGAGGCGGACCTCCAAATTCGAAACAAAATTTGGAGATTTATGTGCTGCAGAGTGCATTTCAATCAGGTATAGTGTCGTCGGAGGTCAAAAAAAAACGTTTCCTGAAGCAAGGTCATTGAAGAGTCAATTGGACTAATTCTACCATCCGAGTGAATTTTTATGGGCGGTTCCATGGTTATTTAACAGCCTGGAAGGCTTTGCCTCAGCGCAGAGTTACGATCACAGAAGCCTGACAGTGGTCTTCGCTATACCTGTTTGATTTCTAAAGGATTTGGACGGGCGGAGGGGGACGAATGAGATTGCGAAGTGCAACTGCCTTGATTTTCATTGTCAAATATAGGGCCGTAAGGGGAGGAAGGAAGCCTACTCTTCGCCAGATGAACAAACAGTGCAAAGGCGTCTGCCAATGCCCTCGATTTCCAATCGCCTACTTGACAAGTAGGTTACGAATAAAACGGAGGCTCCATCTTAATTTACCTCTTCAGAGTAGATCATAGTTCTCTCATTTAAGAGTACCCATGCAATGATGCTGTTGGAGTGAGACAACACCATTTATACGCTTCTAACAACCATCAACACTTGTGACAAGAGCAAGTGGGAAATGCAATCCGTGAAACCGCGTCCAGTTCATTTAGCAACGTAGACGGACCTTCACGCGCAATGGATGGCCAAGATATGTCAATGACTATAAGTCTCAACACTTTCCATTTGAAGCTATTTTTTGTTGCCTAGATCAATGTCTGCCATGCCGATTTCTTCCTTTTCTCACTCTCGACTTCTTCGCAGTCGTTAAGCATCCTCCGAATTAAAGGAGGCTTGAGAGCTACAGTATGACTCGAAGTGCGATAAAGAAAAGCAGGTATGAACATTTAATTAGTTATCCTTTGACTTGTATCTATTTTCTCGTAACCACTAATCCTCACGATGATCAGGCCTCTTTATAAGTTGAACGTGCTTTCTTTAGTCGGCTGCCAGTAACATTGACGATCAAATGAGTGGCAATATTGCTTTTACCGTGTGGAATGGCCTCAGAAACACGACAGTGGCCAACTTCCTCTTTTTTGCTAAATTTATGCACACGTCCAAGTAAAATTAGCTCTGCTATCCACATAGGGTTCCTGTTATGGATCCGCAACTAGAATCTTGTTATCGGAAAAAAGGAGTAGTAATTGTAAACACCTAATTATTTAAAGGGATCTAACTTGGGAATTGCAATGCTTTATTTATGTGAGTATCTGAGGTTTGGCGGTCACTTTAGAATTCGTCTGGGCTTCGTACTTGTAGGCCGGTCGCAGGGCCGGGCTCAGGTCCATTTGGTTTGTTCACTTTAGAATACGTGTAGCCAGCTTCATTTGCTGCATTCTTCCAGCTGGTGGGAAGTCTTGGGGCGCTACATGAGCCGTCGAATCATTACCATTGACAGTTTGTTTGCAAGATGAACTGAGCAGTAGCTCCAGGGAAGCGCGAGGCCGTCAATAGCTAAAATTCCAAGGCTGAATGTAACACTAAGGCTGCAGTGCATCATGGTTGCTTAAATTGGGCCCCGTAGGGAGAGGTGCGCTATCATTTAAAGCGGCATTGTAGCGGTCCTGATTAAATTGACTCGGATATTCTCAAAGTAATTGTAATCTCACTAGAGATACGTATACAAAGTTGCTTAAAGAATTATTGTGAAACTACTTTCCTTCTAAGAAGGCTGCGGTGGAGAACGAAGGGAGTGAGTGCAATACCTTGTTTATGTGATCGCCCGATGTCTGGCGGTAACTTTAAGATTTGTCTAGATCTTTAGCGCGTGGGATGGCCCTCGGGCCATGCCCAGACCTGATCACGTTTTTTTTGAAATACACGTATTCAGGATCACTTATTTTTCCTTCTACTGAGTAAAAAATCTCAAAGCGCTAAAGCTCTAAAATAAAAAGTTCAGGTTATCTTTAAATTTTATTAATTACTTACTTCGAATATAAGGAATAATTATTTAGAGCCTTTGCAGACACAAAAATGGTAGTAGGATGACTGAAAGAAAGTATGGAACAAATACAACAAAAATACATGGTAACAAATACGTTAAAGGCAATAATTGGCAGATCGCTAACAAAGGTTGACTTAATTATCGTTCACTATATGAACTAGATGTTGCGAAAATAGAAGTGGCGGCATGTTAGATGTTCTTGGTAAAGGGGCCAAATTCGATCGATCGAAATATGGGATTTATTGTTTCTCCTCTATGAGAGGGTACGGTTACGTGGAATTGTTCTTTCAACATCATTTGTAGGGCCCAAGTTGGGTCATATTTTTCTGCATTTTATGTAGACACAGTTCTTAAATTTTATGGTTTTATTGTTGCCTGTATTCAATTGTCATTGACATAGTACGCCTTGACTGTAGGCGCTAGCCACTGTACATGATGGCTCTACTGCTGCTGATCCTTTTTTCGCTAGAGCTGAAGCCATATGACGTATGCATTATCCTCTTGTCCTATGGTTCATGATGCGGTTTTTTGGCCGTAAATTCGTTGATGGTTGTAATCACTGCCATTCTATTGCGCCGTTATTGCATTTATCCACTGATCTAAGCTTTTCTTATGCATCTTATAGACACAATGCTTGGCGATATAGGAAGGATCCCCATTCTATCTCTGAGTGGTTGCAAGAGTCTTTCGGATATTCTCTCAGATCTGCCCTTGCCTCAACCCCTTCCCAAGTCCGTCAGTGGTATCGATCTCATCGATGACCCCAAGTTGTTCCAAGAGGCGCAAGCTCATATGCAGTCGCGCGATGAACATTTGGTAGACTCGATTTCATCAGCACTATCCATCACGTCCACAGACGGAATGTAAGGTTCTGCCTTTCTGTTTATTTTGTGTTTAGAATATTAAAAAATGATCAGAAGCCTGCTCCAATCGATTTCCACACTCTTCCCATATTGCTCAAAGAGGCAATTTCGAAAAGACCTAATATATTAGAGGAGAACCGGAGCTTTGAATGTATATACTCGTGCAGGGAGGTGCTGCAAATTCTCTCTGGCGAAGGTAATCACGAACATCTCCCTTACGCATAACTCTTTTAGCGGGAAAATGTACTTCCAAAACGGCTTCCCCCATTAAGTCTGGTTTGTCGTCGGTGACTCGACATCAAACTTCAGCGTCCGCAGTCGCCCCCGTCAAACTGACACTAAAACAATCACAAACTCCTGGGAGTGGAAGTGTTTACAGTGTAACATCAGTAGAACCGCTTAAGCTATCCATTAAGCGAGCTCCTGCTACTTCGACTCCTGCCACCGTCTTACAAGATGGTCCGAAAAAATTGCGTGGCAAACGCCGTTCCAAAGCCTCTACCTCCGTTTCCTCTAGCACCCAAAAATGGGTAAGAATTACATCCACCACTTACTCTGCTTGCGAACACCTTTTCCGCTATCCTTACCGAAATTAGGAACTCTGAGCTATTCTTCTTTAGTGTTGGGTGCGATTTTTTCGCTCAGTATGGTATGCGTTTCAAGCATGCATGTGCTGCACTTGATGTCACGGGCTTAGCCAAACCATCACAAATGTAGAATAGAAGCTAATTGGTTATGTTTAGCAATAGTTCTCTGTGACACCAAAGTACTCTCATCACAACTCTTATTCGACGTTTATGCACATCCTCTCCGCCCACTTTGTCTTTGTGCTGGGTTCCAACTAATAGCAGACTTTATTGAAGTGTTTGTGAGTTACTTCGACTGTCAGAACAACGTATTCTTATTCGCTATCCTTTTTTTCGATTATTCTTTAGCCGATGCAATTGGTTGAGTCGGGAGCAGCTCCAGTTGTGCCTACGCAATTGCAAATTGTTCATTCTCCTCCTGTACAGTCAACGCGTCTTCCCATCCAAAATCCATCCCCTAGTTTGCAATTAGTCATCAATGCCCCACCCTCCTTGCCTCCTCCCCCTCCTAAAGATCCTCTTGTACGAAATAGCAGCCAAATGTTGAGTACAGTATTCAACCAACTCCTCCAATCCGACCCCGAGAGTACAATCGCTTCACTCTTGAGCAGCAGCGATGGGCAATCTATGGGCACTCCAGCCTCTGTAGAACCCCATCATCCTCGCTCCCCACCCCTTTCCGTTCCCTCAAACTGCTCCTATCCTGCCACTCCAGGCATGAACAGTAGCCTCTCAGTGAACAATAACAGCAGCAACACTAGCAACATGGCTCCTGCTGCCGTTATCACCACCACTAATCCTTCTCCTATCAACACTATTTTCGACACAGCTGATGTGGGTGGTGGAAGGACGACCAATCCTACACCTGCTCCTCCTCCTCCGCCTCCTCCACCTCGAGGATTAGCGGCTTACCTTCAGAAATCTCGGAATCCTGAAGCAGTTGCTTCCCCTTCTGAAGATGTCATGGATGCTTATGCCCGCCAACATGGGTCTGTGCCGCCCATGTCTTCTTCATCCTCTTCTCCATGGACCGAGCGCCGCTGTGGACCGCAGGCCAGTTCTAGTGCCAATGTCGGTGCCGCTCCCTATCCAACCTCCTCTTCCTCTCTCACTAGCACCCCCAATGGACAGGAAGGTGGCAAGGAGAAGCGTGGTGAGTTTTTCTGCACCAATATTGAGCGATGTGCGTTCCCATTCCACTCTCTTATATTACTCGATAGGTCGTCGACGACGAAGCGAGTTGGAAGAGCTGATAAATTGGCAGGTTCGAGATCAAGCAACACCCCTCAAGAAACCTACTTTCCAGCCTCAACAAATCCCACCAATAATGGAGAATAACTCGCCTCCTCGCGTCCCAAGCGACAACGAGGGTGCGGCCTTTTTTACAGAACCCCTAGGGGAGCGTGTCAAGCGCAGGAGGCAGCAGCACAGGACACCGCCGTGTTCTAACAACAGCTCCAGTGATGTCATGAGGAACAACAGCGGTGGTAAAAGTGCCTATGGTGGTGGAAGCAAAAGTGGTGTCAATAAACGTCCTCGTGAAGACACATCCAGCGAGCTGTCAGTTTCACCGAAACATGGAAAGACTTTGGGGCACCGGCGCCATCGTCTAACTTCCTCTGAATCCGATATTCAGGATGATGAGGAGGAGGAATCCAAAGCGGTCGATGATGGTGCTACCAGCAGTAGTTGTCTCACCGATTCACCTGTTCCACGGAAGCATTCGCTCCAACGTCTTGTCGAAGAGGTCAAGGGTCGACCACCTTCTCTACCCAGACTTGATAGTTTACGTGTACGTCTTCTTTTGTTTTTTTTTTAGGATTCCTTTCGTTTTTAAATCACACATCATCTCCATTTTTAAGCACACTCCTCTGTCTTCTACACCCATTCCTCCGGCTGAGCCAAATTCTCCACTAGCATGTTCAAATAGTAATCGGTTCTCGCCTTCGATGGAACGACCCAGAAAGAGGGCTTCCACCCGCTCCTCCACTAGTCCTCCGCCTCTTCTCCCTCTTCAAAGTTATGGACAAGATCTAGTTGACAGAAAGGAACGCCATAGGTTGAAAAAGCGTCGGCAGCTCACTCAGACTACTTCCTCGTCTGAGGATGAACCCTCCAAAAAACCATGTACGTTTCAGGTTTCATCATGTTTGACATTGTTACTGGTCTTCGTGATGGTGGTTTAATGCCTTGAAACATGCATGCGTCATCGCAGTACCATCAAAAATGCATAAAATTGCACCGGCTGCAAATACGAAAACGAAATGCCTCTTCTTTATTTCCTTTTTGCTTTCATGCCTTCTTGCATGTAACAGCTCATTGGTTTTCGCGAAAACGGATAATGAAAATCATTGACCATCTAAAAACATTCGTATCGTTCAGTGACTAGCAATACATTGTCGCTTAACATCCGAGAAAGGATTTGTTTTTTTTTTCTGGTCTAATATTAGCTCAACTGAAACGCGGTTTATGCCTCCATCCTTTCGACTTTGTGAATAAGGCTCTCCTCCTGCCGTCTGATCGTACAGGTGTTAAGTCTTCAGACTTGGCGTTACCTTATGCTTTAAGCTGACAGCTCGCATACTTTATTTTCGGGTCAGTACTAGCTCGCGAACGTTATACGTAACTAGGCCAGCTTAGCCTTTTGAATGCAATGGGGGACAACCAGGTATGATCATCGAAACGATTTTTCTTGAATATCTGTTTTCTATTTGAAAGAAGTGTTTCCGTTGTGTCCTTTTTAGTCAAGCTTACTGCTCTTCTATTTAGCTTTAAAATCGTCGATTTCACGCAGATTATGGTCACTCTTCAAAAGACGCCTTTTTATATGAGCGCCCTCGGATAGACTGGATTTTGTTCATTTGCAAGATGAAGGATAGGAGTTTCTTATCGCAGCAGATTCAGATTTCACCCATAAAATTTTTGCCTATTTTAGGGTTGTACGATTACCTTATCGCCTGGGTCGTGGTCTCACTTGAATAAATTAAAAAATAATTTCTTTTTAAAACCTCTTCTCTCAGTTTAGTTTCCTTTTGGTATTTGCTTTGCTGGTTCGTTAGTTGCCCACTTTCGTCTCATTAAAGTTTTCTGCCGTTTTATGGTTAGTTGTGCTAATGCAAAGAAATTCGAAATTTCATTTACCTGACTTCATATCGCACTTCTTCTTTTTAAGTGATCTCGTAACTTAGTTTTCTATGCTATAGTTTTATAGCATGTTTTTTTTATCTTAATGCACCAGTCTATTGTGAACATAACCTATCCTTTTTCGCTATCCTTTATTTCACCTCAACCCTTGTCGCAATCCTTCGAGCCATTGCCATTTGGCTCTCCATTATGCTCTGGAACTCAAGAATGTGATCGGTTGAAAACCTAGTCTTTATCCGCATAATGTTCTTAATGACCTTTACGCATAAGCGTTTTGTGTGTTTGCAGTACTTGGGTATCGCTTATATTAGGCGTTTTATGTTTCTTAGCTTTTTTTTCTCATGAATTGGATTCGAAATTAACTCAGCCCCTCTATTTGGTGGCGCTGTAGGAACTTCTTTCACAGCGTTCACTTTGACCATCACCTATTTCAGCTCACTCAATGGTAATTGCTGAGCGCAATTCGAGGCGGAGCTCCAATCACAATCGATTCAATGAAATGTCTAAATCAGGATCGCATGTTCCTCGCAAAAAACAAAAGACTCCCTTAATCCGCTCTTCATCATCTTCGTCTTCTTCATCGTCGAACGCTTGTAGGCTCAGTCCTGCCTCCTTTAGCAAGGGTCGTCGCAAGACCAACTCTGATACACATTCACGCTCCTCAGAGGAACATGGAAAATCGGTTGCACGGAGGTGTGGATCGACATCAGGCACTGAGCCGTGTACTGAAAGCTCTGCAATGGATTGTGATAAGTATGATAAGGATGAACTGTCGTCTCTTAAAGCTCTGTCGGCTAATGCAGCTACCGCTACGGTCGTCTCATCACGTTTGTCCCCCTCTTCCTCCAACATGGCTGTCTCTTCTGATCTCTCCGACTCTGATCGGACTGAGATGGTAATAGAAGCAGAAAAACGGATAAGCGAAGAAGTCGGGAAGTTTGCTGTCACATGGGCTCACTTTTCTACACACATATCCGAATTTTTATTACGTGTGGGGAGTCTGGATCTTTCCAAAACAGCTGGAGACATGAGCATAGCCGCAGTTGATCCGGGCGAAGACTCCTCTTCGGCTGTCGATCAAACACCGGTAACTGTGCGTCTATCCCGTCGTGAGGTAAACTTCCTCTATCATGAGGCGGAGGAAGCACGGGTAGCTGGATCTATCTCCAACGAACCCAATGGACGTTTGGTCAGATTCTTGAATCTTTTAAGAGTAAATATTCGTGACGCCTCTTCTCTCATGGCTCCCAATCCCACCATTGTGAGGGACTTTTGGCTATCTATAAGCTTTGTTATATTTGAATGTGACGGGGCTCTATTTTTCGTCGCTTTGTTAGACAAATTTCAAAGAACTTATCCAGCGTCGGAAGGCTCGCATTGAGCGTCGGAATGGTGGTGCAGAAGGCAGCAGTGGAAGCAGTGAACTACTCTCTGAATCATTATTATGGTCACATCCTGTGTGGATGCGAATATTGCGTGGTCTTGATTCAGCCCTTATTGCTCTCCACATCATTGCCGGACCAGATGTCCCTCGAAGTCGTCTACTTGCAATGGAAGAACTTGTGGAAGCTATCACCGCTATTACGCAGTTTCACTTTAATCGGCTAGTCACTGTAATTTGCACTCCTGATGGTATGTTAGTTTACATTTACGATGATTATTTGTGTCTTTTTCGTAAAACCGTAGGCCAAGTTTCTGAGCAGTGCAACCTGACCTGGCTAGATTCAGCATTTAGTTTGGCTTTGGAAATCTCATATGATCTAGCCAAGAAAAGTTGTAGGCAGAATATCTGTGGTTGTTGCATAAACATAGTTTGTAGGTTTTCACAGCTTTGAATGGGGTTATAAGATGCAAACAACCGGTGCTTTGATGTTCCAGAGCGCTCTCTGTGTCTGTCATATCATCTTTACTTCCCACTATCGAATTCGTGCCAGATCCATCGGCGAAGACTAATGTTTCTGATTGCTTAAAATGTCAAATGTGTCTCTTCACTTCAGTGTGTACACTTTTCCGCTAATTACCTCTTGAGATGGTGATTTCATTCCAATTTACCTAACTTTTGTGTGGCCTTTGGACAGTACCCTCTCAGTAGCCATTTTGTCGTACAGTATTATTAAACGTCCTGGTGTTAGCTCATGCATTGTAAGTGCACATTTTATTTATTTGAAAGCCGACTCTGCATTTAAATACGGATGTGTTTCTGCCCGCCAATTTGATTAACTCTTGGTAATTTTGGTAATTCGAAATTCGAGATGGTCTGATAAGCTATATTTAGGTTGACTTTTAAAATACTCTTAGAAGTTAGGGGATTTTGAGTAATTCCTCTTGTATACTGTCCTTTTACGCACTTCAATGCTGAGTAAATGACTTCCTCTACAGCATTTTTGTGGTTTTGGTAGTACCTGTTTGTTGATTATCGTTTTATTTTCTTTGCGTGGGGACTAACGTTCACCCAAAAATGCAGAAATTTAGCTAATGAAATTCCCCCTTCCTTTGTCACTTTGTCATTCGTCTGTGCAATTGTATAGATTCATGAAAACCCGTTGTTTGTGAAATTGGTCAAATAAATAACTATACATTCCCCTTCTAGAGTTCAAACGCTCTGGGTCCAACATTCCTGTGGGCCTCACAAATCTTGTTCGCGAAAGCCTCGGCAGTCGATTAAGTGAAGCGTTGTGTGGTCTGGCTAGCCTTGTGCGTCTCCATCCCGGTCGATTTACCGACTCTCTAATCATGCATCTCACTGATCTTGCTATTCTCGTCATCTCATGTGGGCTTAGCCCTGGTGCTTCTCGGAGGGTACCTCTTGCAGGCACTAGTACGTCTTCCTCACCGCCTTCTGCCATTCTTTTTCCTGAAACGGCTCCTCCTCCTATCGCTGGGGAGTCGCTGGAACGACGAGAGCGCCGTCGAAAAGAATACTACGAGCGCAATGCTTGGCGTCTTCAAATGCAGCGCTCTGCGCTTGCTCTTGCATCTACAATCTTCTCACAATATGACAAACACCGTCGCCTAGTAGCCAGTGATGTTTTGTCGAATCTCATCACCTCACCTATAAAGGCGGTCTCTACCAGGACTTCGAATTCGTCCTCTAAAAGCTGCCCCGCCATGCGAAACTTCTGGTGGGTGCAGGATTCATACACATTGTCCTTCTGAATTCTTCGCACTATCCACTTTTTTTGTTATTTTGACAGGATTTTAGCATCTGGAAGTTTCACCAGCGGCTGGCAGCCCTTCTGTCGATACATCCAACCTTCACCTTTGTCTGCCAATAACTTTGTTGCAAACTCACACTTCATTCGAGTGCATCCCTTTACTGCAGTCCTAATGGCCCTCATTCAGGGTCTTATTCCCGCCCCATCGTATATGGCTGGTGGGCGACGGAGCTCAAGCGCTGGTGCACCAGCCACTCCTTCAAGTGGTGTCAGCCAACAGTCCACCACCACGGGCACTGGCATGAGTGACCAACACGCCATCATGGATGCCACTCAGCTGGCGAAGGAGGAAAAGTCTGTGTGCAGCGCATACACAAATGCCATTCGCACCTCTCAGTTCCTGATCTCGGAGATGTTCAGAAAGTAATTTGTTGCCTAGTATTTACAGTCATTGTGAATTTATAGAGACTTATTTGTTTTCTCCCTTTCCTAACTTAGGGCTGTTGCCAAAGGGGAAGATAATCTAAGCCCACTCGTCGACACAGTTCTTGTTGACCTTCTAAGGGTAGCAGCTGATGCACCGATAGAGTGGCCAGTGGCGAGTCTTCTGCTCACTGTCTTTGGAAAATTCTTAATTCAGCAGCTGAATGGATCTTCCACACCACCCTCCTCTTCGCGAAGTCAAACTCCTACCCAAGGAACTGCTGTTGGTTCTTCTGCTTCCGCCACAGCCCCCTCATCCACACCGACTTCAGGGTCGAATCGAAACACTGATTCTACAGTTCGTCAGATTGCTTTGGATAGTCTTATCACTCTTACGGGGGGTATGTATCACCTTCAAAAACTCCGGGGATCCACCAACAAGGGGAATTTTGATTTGGGGGAGGCTAGGACTGCACTGTCTGCATTTCTTGGAAGTCCTGTTTTGGGCCTCTACCATCTCACTCTGGGTATTGACGAAGAATCGAAGGGTGCTACTTCTGACTCTGCTGAGGGGATGTCAAATCACACACGACAGCGAGAATTCGCTTACCAACTCATCTCTCGTCTTCGATATAACCACTTTGATGGCCTCACGTTGGTACGCTGTTTTTATTGTCTGGTCTAGGCACCTGCTTTGACGTGTGCTGAGAGTTAACCTTTGGCTCTTTCAGGCAGCCAAACGATTTCACTTGGTGACGTGGTTGTACGAAACAAACCAAGAACTTAGCTCAACTCCACCTTCACCAACTGAAGAGAGGCGGAAAAAATTGGAGGAGATTCGCAAGAGTCTCCTGATTGAGTTTGCCTCAACACACCACAGCATATCAGGGATAGCTCCCTGGCTACCACCGAATCGTGGGACGGGTAGTGGTGGTGGTGGTGCTACCGGCAACCGTGCAGGTCTCATCAGTCCTGCAGCCTCGGAACCCAGCATCGCGGGCGAGAGGCCACTGAGTGATACGAAGTTGGCTTTGTACACTGGTTATGGCGTCGGCGCCGAAAGTAGACGTAAAAAAACCGCACGTGCACATCGCTTTGCCACTAAAATCGCAGCGCAGATTCACGGTCAAATCGGATTTGATGTGCTCTATATGCAAATTGTAAAGGTTAGTTGCTTTTTTCCCCTTGTTTCACCTCAGTCCTCTCCTTTGGGACGCTTAAGAAGTGCAAATAGGTTCAAAACTTTTGCATTTTGTGTAGTCTGTCCTAATCTGAGCAGCATTTCCATAGCTCCTCCTTTTTTCGAGCATTCCTCTTTGCGAATAATAACTCAAGCGACTCCTGCTAGAATAATCAAATAATTCGAGGTGTTTTATGGGTTTTCAGATCACGTTTTTTTACTAATGGCTTTGTTTAAGAGAGTTAACTGTTTCAAATTTCTACTTTGATTGCTTCGCTATTAGGGGTGAGAAGTTTATTAGTTGTGAGAAGCTGGGCTGTCAGCTTTTATAAATTTCGACGTTTCTAGGGGTCGAAATAAAGACACCGCAAAGGAGGTTTACATTAATAATTTCACTACCGAGGCCCTTTCTTGGAGGGAAGAAAAATGCACTAGTAGTTGTTCACATTTTTAAGTTTCGCTGGCTCTACTTGGCACATTGCTCTGTCGAATTTGAAATAGTAAAATAGTATTTAAGTTTGAGAGATGCTTTACACCAAGTTCATTCTATAAGCCCTCGCCTAGGAACAGTTTTTCAGAGCGATATCGCACTCAATTCGTCCCATGTTTAACCTAGGGTTTTGCTTCTCCATTGTCCACCTCTTTTGCTGGCCTTAATGGGGAACCTGGGGACATGGTTTTGTGAACCTGCGAATTCCATTAGCAGTCCGCTTGAAATCATGGGTGTGCGGTCACTCACGGGACAAGTAGCCAGCGTGTCACCAACCATGGGTCGATTGGAAAAAGTTGAACGGAGTTCTCACAACATTTCTTATTCAGCAGCATTAATTCAATCAACTGGGTGTTGCCGTCTCATCATGGCAAGCATTCGACAGACAGAGGGATCGGAATCCAAACTCACCTTAAATCTTGCACCAGGGAGTATCAGGAGGTGTGCAAGCTAGGTGGTCACCATTTTTAATTAACTCGTTCGTCAGCACACACCCACATTTGTATGTACCGTGTTGTGCCGTTGGTGGTGCTGATGGTGATGTACACTGCGTGTGCACGTCACGACAATTAAATGCGCCCAACAACACAGTGCTCTATCAAGAGTTTTCGACACCAAGCCACACGCAATCGCTAGCTCGTTAGCTAGTTGGTTAATGGGTCTAGATCGGCTGTGCCACACGCACTCACACTTGCCTGTTTAAACAAATTTGTTCATTATATGTGCCTTCACAAGACGCCTGTGCCAGTGAGTTTTGGTTTTTTTATCACTCGACGCATCTGTCAGTACTAACTAATGCCTTTTACGAAAGTAGGGAGAGGTGAAAATGGGAAAAGTTTAAGCATATTGGGTCACTACATCTGAGTTTTGCATAGAGGCGGCAACACGTCCAGTTAAGGACAGAGACGTCAAAATTCGCCATGAAATCTGACAAAACTGGAATCGGCTCCACTGTAAACCATTTGGAGGTACGAAAGAATAGGATCTTAGATGTCGTTAGACTATTGCAGAAACTGAGCTGCGGGAGATCAGGTTGACATGACTTCGAGCCTTATTCTACTGTATTTGCTGTGGCTGCCGTCTTTGTCGTTTCTGTAGAAACAACGATTGTGTGATCATCTCAGATCGTTGTAAAAAGACATACAACTTTGGGTGCTGTTCAACAGCTTTTCTTTTTTGTATGCCAATTATGGGACCTACGATTCATCTCTCATTCCTATTCGTATCTCCCCTACTTGCTTAGTGTCAGACTTTCCTTGCGCCCATATTTTCTTTTTATCATGATAAAGTGGTGCTACCGTTTCTGGAAGTCGCAGCATTCAGCTAATAGCCTACCAAATTTCTTAACAGACCTCTGGGATTGATTCGATTTTGGTCCCACTTCATGAATGAATGCCTTACGGAACTCCAGCTTGGGTGACCTTAAAGTCTATTCTTCTAATATTTCCCATAGATTTGGCTATCCACAACGGCTGCCTTCACTCCGTGGCATTTCGTCGTATCTTCAACACTTACACCTATGTAGGGCCGGAATTCTCTCTGTAGACTTAAGGGATTCGGAAGTAGGTTTTAGTGCGTGTGTAGAGCTTTGAATATCCATAGGCCTTAGAAGAAGCCATTAAAGTCGCATGCCATTGGTGTGCAGGCTGAATTTTTGGAGACTGGAGGCACCCATGCAACCAAGCCTTGCTTCAGCTAAACTGCGTAAAGCCCTCGAACTAATGCACCATGACTTTCTTTCTTCATCTGCAGATGGTTCATGATGCGTCGCTTGCTGTACGTACGCGAGCACTGAGAGGTCTATCGAATTTAGTTGAGACCTGTCCAGAGTGCATTCCAGTACCGGTGATCACGGAGAGCTCTGCTCCCAGTGCTTCAGACCTCCTCTCAATCATTCCTCTCCGTCTCATGGACGGTTCACCGATGGTGCGTGAGGCAGCCGTTGAATTGGCTGGACACTTGGTAAACATCCCCGATTCCGCCTTTCCAACGCGTCTATTCAAGCCTCTAGTCAATCGGGTACTTGATTTGCAACTCAGTGTTCGTAAACGTGCTGTCAAGAGTCTGCAGCAACTTCTTCTTTCGGACTCTGATGACATGCGCAGAACACCACTGCTTACGCCTAAGCACCGATCTGACGCTTGCGTCACGCTTCTTAGGCGTTTCAATGATGAAGATACCATTAAGGTAAACTGATAACATTTCGGTTTTGTGTTCAGGGTTGCCTCTTTGCCTCAATCATTTGTTGTCCTGCTGAATAGAAAATCGTACTGGAGACGTTCACTGCACTCTGGTTCACCTTCGGCACTGGTGAGAGTGTTGACGCTTCCAAATTGGCCACACGACTCGAAAAACGGGTCCGTAATATGTGTGAGGTCGTTCTAAGCGTGCGGAGCCGCAGTTCTGGTGTGATAGAAGAATTTATGGCCTCGGTAAGCACCTTTTTTACAGAGTGAGAAAAGTCAAAGGAAACTCGTTAGGCAAACTTGACTCATGCTAATGGACAAGAGGAATTACTAATTTGGTTCCCTTCTCTGATGGGTCGGGAAAAAATTGTTGATGGAGCAAGAGAAGACAGGCACAGTTGACTCAGATGGATTGACTAGTAAGCAAAAATCGTGCAAGATGAAACATGGCTAAATTTTAGCCTGCTGAACATGGTTGCGTGCATGTGTGTATGGGCTTTTTGCCCACACGCCGCAGCGTCCGAACAATCCATAACTTATTCCATCCCTCTTCCTCCTCACCCCCTAAATTTTTTGACCACTGTCTGATGATAGTCAGCTGTCTGACCACAGATTAGGCGCCCCCCATTTTAGCAACCGCTGTGCTGAGGAGATGAGAATTCATTTCGCCTCCATTAACTCGGAGTAACCGTCTCGAATTCCATGCCGTGTCCTCATTTAATTGCGTGTCCTGAAACCTTTATCCTTTTGATTAGGCTTACCATTGCATTTAACTGTGACTTTACCACTAGCTTGTAACTTACTTTCATCTTTGTCTACAGAGTTTTGCGTGTCTTTGGCTAGCATCTCATAGATCAATCGCAATGCCGTGTAATTACTGTTTGCTGTCTGGTGTAGCGAGATCACACGGAAATGCCGCTTTTAGATAAAAAGACGCTCTCTACATCTGATTTTGTGTTATTTCAATCACTGGTTGCATTACTTTGTTGTTTCTTCTATCGTAGATTCTCAATCAAGAATCGCCGGAGAAGGCAGTTCAAGTTGATGCTGCCAGCTCAAGAATCGTTGACTTTCTTATGAAACTAGTACAGCGCTGCCACAGTGAGTTCTCACATACATCTTATCTTCTACTATCCTCAATTTGTTGCCAGAGCATCCGCTTTCACTTTACGCGCTTTTTAAAGGCAAATTTCATGTTATTTAATCAAGCATCTCATTTACTTTATCCATCTCTTTTTTGCCTGGATTAATTCCTTACCACGTGTTTATCGAGTTTTCGCCTCAGATTATTGATTACCTTTTTCCTTAATCGCAGGTGCACTGTTAATTTGATCAATATCCAATTAGCGTACGCCCTGTGAGTCCACTAGGCTGTGCGAGGTTTTCTTCTGTGTCAGCAAAACAACTTGTTAATGTTATTCTTGTGCTGCTTTGAATTGTAAACTCCTTAATGAAGTAACGACGCCTTTTTACTTTTACTTTGGCTAGACGCAAGCTGGCACACAGCGAATTGCCCACTTCATATGAAATATAATCGAGGGCGTTCGTCTAGCCCTGAGGGCCACTGTAAATGCTCCACTCAAACCTCAGACACTCTGTCACCGCAGAATGCCCTCTTACTTCTTAGTACTATGGTCAAACCGCGTCCTCAGTTGTTCTTGCAGCATATATCCATGCTAACCCAAGTGGTTGCCTTCGCTGCGGTCTCACAAGACAACGGGGGCGTTCTCGATGGCAACACTCTCTCTTATGCCATAGAGATTATCGAGTCATGCTGCCTTCACGTTGCCGCCGAAAAGGGTTCAAAGTTGAGGTATATTCATGATTTGTGAATTTGCATCGAACTTTAGGCAAATTTTTTCTTCTTAAAGTCTCACTGTCTCGTCTTTTGATGCTAATTTGTGTTTCGCATTAATGCAGGCAACGAGTTCTTGCCCATGTCTCAGTGATAATCGCAGTGAATGGGTGTTTTCCGAAAAAAACACAAGTGTTTATCTGACGGTTCGATCTTTAAATAGACTTTATTTTACATGCGGACAGGCCAAGTTGTATCGAGAAGTGGTGGTCACGTGACCTTTCTGTCACTTTAGTCAACTGTTTCCCGAAGGCACGGGCACTTTGGAGGATTACCTGGTCGTCCTTCTTCAGCGACATTGTCGTGCCGTTGTGGACTCGTCAGTTTCATGCCTTGCAGCCATCGCTAATCACCTTACTAAGAACTACTCCCGTGTGGCCACCTGTTTTGCTCAATTTTATGGTTGGTATTGTCTCATTTCAGCAAAATTTGTTCATTTGATTTAGTCACGATTTTTGCTTCCCTTTGTGAATATGTATTTGGTGGGGTTATTTCGACCTTATATTTCCCCTCCTAGGGTTTTTAAGACGGTATAATTTTTCTCTTGCTCTATCGCAACCGATATTGTAAAACTTGTGTGGTTTTATTTTGGGCGAGTAGTAGGACTAATTCTATCCAGGGAATTTAATATTCGACGTTCACTTACAGGGGTGGACGCATTCGCATTTTTTTGTAAAAGGACATTAATTTGTCTGTCTCACATTTAGGCTTTTCCTCTCCCTCAAACTAGCAAAGTAGCCTATCTGACAAAGAACTATAATCCTCTGCCATTTTTCCCGTAAAGATGTGAGTAGCCTTTCATTGCATCAGTCTGAGGCCTTCTATCTTTTCCCTACTTTTTTTTGGAAGAAAGCCTCTGTTAACCTGTTCAAATCCTCCTCAATCCTAACTTGGGTGCATTTGCATTCTACAGTCGTTTGACATTTTCTGCTTATTTATAGTTTCGATTTATTGCCTCATTCGCTATCCAAGTAATTCTTTGCTCTCTTCGGTATCTTTATTTGAAGACGCATAAAACAATTCTCGCTTTGATTTGTATCAAAAAATTGTTTTGTAAGGAAATAGTAGTACGAGGCTATGTCTTTCTTTCCAGTACGGGCTTCCCGTATTTCCATTTAGCCTCTTTATCATAGTAAACAGCTAAGTAGGTATTCCATCTCCTATCTTTTCCCGTAGTGTACCACTTTCGTGTTTTCCATTGATGCATCCAAATAATTGACTGCAAAATTGGTTGACTTTTTGAATGTAGATGATTTGCAGTGTGTCGACTTTCTTCAATTCCCCCTCATCTTTCCCTCGTATTTAGTTCCTCAGTGGTGCCTTGGTTACGAACTTCCTTTGTTACCTGGCATTTTCTATCTCAATTATACAGCGTCACTTTCGCTTCCTCCCTTTCAGTAATTTTTACATAATTTTTTAACCTTCTGGGGGATGATTTCGGTGATTTATTTCGCTTGTAATATTAGCCTCAATTTGCCGGAAGTCTTTCCAATTTTTTGGTCAATTTCAGTCATTTCTAATATGCCTCGCAAAGTGCATAGACTTCGCTTCACTTTGCACGCGTATTTTGTACTTTTATGGTGCGTGCATGCATTGCATCCGTTTTTTTTAATGTAAGAATTTCATTATAGTTACTGAAAGTTCACTAATCAACTGTTTGTGATTATTCAACATCAGGGCCTAAGTAGGAACACAATTCTGTATTTTTTTATCAACGTTACCCATTCTCTATCATCATAGCATTTCAATGAATCGGAGCCAGTCTCGATAATTTTCAATCGCTGTCATTTTTATTCTACGAACAGCATTTTAGGAAACCATCTGTGTTGCAATGAATAATATTAGAAGCTATCCAGCACTTCGTTTACAAATAGCTAATTTAGCTCTCCTCAATTTTGGTGCAACACTGACCTCTGCTCCTCGAATCCTCAAATTCTGAGAGTTCTCTAGTTAGGTATCAATATTAGCAAATTTTTCGTAGATGATCACTTGCCCAACTCTCAGAGGTCGATGTACCTGCTAAAATCCTGTGTTTTTTGGGATGCCTTTTTTGTGATTTTTCATAAATTTTGCTATCTGTTAACAACTTCTTTCTCCTTAGAAGTCTTGCCAAGCATTTTTCAACCGACTTGTTGCAATATAACCGTATTTAGGCAATTCTTTGCTTTCTCTTCAAGAGATTAATATTTTGGGACAGATTTTGCTGAAATTTCATTATTTTAGCATTTGATGCATCATTATGGTGCTTCTTACGTTTACAAGTCAAAAAATAGAGTGTCTACAACTGTAAAAATGGCATGAACGTCAAGAGCGGACCCTCCTCTCAGTGGCGGAGGAAACGACTTGTTGGTAATCCCAACAGGTTTGAGTGTCAGTCCGCTGATTCAAAACAAATGCAATCCTGCTAGAGCTCTTTGCTGACCTCTATGGTTTTGAAAATATCAAAATCAGTCCTATTGTTTTGCTCCTAAACTCCAAAAAGTGAAGTTTTTGATGGTCTTCGTAAAGTTACGCTAAATTGCAACGGGAGACGGAATTCGAAGCCGTGGTGTTCTAAAAGTACTCAACGTTTACCAGAATAAAAGTTGGGAAACATTGATTGCTTTTGGTTTCAGAATGCCTTATACAGGAGCGCAAAGCCGCAACAGAGCGTCTGAGGAGGCTTGCCTCAAAACACGCCGCTTCTGCTCCTTCTTCGGTTTCTTCTGTACGTTCTCCGTTAAAAGCGCGTCCCAAGGTACTCCGGGCTGTCTATGCCGTTGGACTGATTTGCAAGCACTTCTCTCTCGAAGATCTTGCTAATGCTACCATCAAGTCAAGTAACGAGTCCAATACTGGTGTTCGGCGCCCTTCCTTCGATCTCAGTGCTCTCACCCATCAGGTAAGGACTTTATTCCTGTCGATGTGGCTTTACAGCATTTCGTCTACCATCAACGAGGGGGACTTCTGCTGTACTGGTGAAATTTTAATGTCCCCACTTTATCTTCCAGGGCGGTAGCGGATCAAACAATCGCGATGAGGTTTTCAACGCTCTCATGTTCTTCTCTGAGACTGCTCTGCTGATAAATATTGACGAGGAAGCTCGTCGTGCCATCGTCACTACCACTACCGAGGATGTTGAGATGGCCAAAAAAGCTATTGCTGGTCTCTCCTTTCTGGCCAATCGACACGAATATCTTTTTAGTTCTCTTCGTCTTCAGGAATTCTTCAAAACCATTCTCTCTGGAGTGAGTGCCACTTTTCCACGGGAGGCTGTCGCTGATCTCCAATGCATCGTTCTTGACTGCATAAACGCCTTTTTGGTTGATGAGGAGAAAAGGATGCTGAGTAATGACAGCAATTGTGAGTTTGTCAGGTTTTGGATCTCGTACACATGAAGTGATTATACAATGCCTGCTTTGTTCATTTTCTAGGGCTAGCTCGGCGAAAGCAAGAATCTCTAAAAGACTTAGGGGATGGGCAGGAGGTGCATGGTAGCACGGTGGCACAGATCTACTTGAAACCTGCCCTTGAGCACTGCGTCATATGCTCCTCGACCACGGTGCGCACTAAAGCTCTCTCCCTCATTGCAACAGCTGCGCGTCAGGGTCTCGTCCATCCTGTCAGCTTCATCGCCCCTCTCATTTCTCTCCAAACGGATCCTGAATTCGCTATTAGATCTCGAGCCATCAGCATTCTTCAAGAGATCTCTCAAAAATTCTCCGGTTTTCTAGCTGTTAGTTCTTCCTCTTTTTCTAAACCTCGAAATTTAAAATTGGACCTGATTACCTGAATTTGATTATGGGATCTAATCTTCGTCGGGTCATTTTGAAGCGCGTTAACTTCTTTTTAAACTCCTTATATTTATCACTTCTGAAGTTTAACTTGATTATTTGTCCACGTATTTCTCAGGTAATCTACTTGACCTCTCTGTTTCGGTGAGTCATTTCAAGTAAACCAAAGGATAGTATTTGTTCATTTTCTAAACTTTAGTGTACCATAGTTTCCTAGTGGCACAAGCATCCGATCTTGTTAGGTTTCTTCAGATAAAGTCAATTTCTCAGTAGATTTTGAGTCCTCTTTTAAAAATGGTCTTGATTACCTAAACGTGTAATAATCTCTCTTGTATGCATCCCGCCATTTCACCAAATCACCATTGCATTTTCCATGTGCAATTATAATCGGTTGACCTATATCCTCTTGTCTCTCTGCTTGTCATGGGTGGCTTATCAATCCCATCATAGAGCTTTGGAAACCCTAATGTTCCATAGCGGTTGTCTTGTTTTTCAAAGGCTAATTATCCTTATTTGACTTGGCAGCGAACCCGCGATTCTTACCACGTTTTTGTGTCTCCTGTCAAACTATTCTGAGTTTGGTTCATTTTCTTAGAAGTTCATTGCCGTCCTTGAAGAATCTCTGTGTTGTTCAGTTAATCACGGATTCCCTAAGTCTTTACTACATATTGCGATGGCTGAAGTGAACAAATTTTGTGATACACTTCTCTTCATTTTTTAACTAATCATGTACAGCATAACTGTCTAACGTTTTTCGCTTGCAGTGCTGCAAGGACTAATATTCCATCAAATTAGTCTCAAGAATGTACTCCACCTTTTAACTGCGACTCCTCAAATCTTTCATCGTGTCATAAGCGCGGATCGATTTGGATTGTGGCGCGCCTGTCTTTATTTTAATGGGATTCTGATAGCCAAAGTTATGTCAACCGTTTATATTTTTTCCCTCCAACCTACCTCGGGTTTATTGATGCATGACTTTATGTTCTCTATTCTTTATGGAGGTCATATTTCCTCGCATTACTCTACTACTACCATCGTTTGATACTGCTGCGCCTTAACTTTCCAAAATGGATCTTATTTTGTTGGTCTGACTCAAAACGTGCACTTGGTCATTTTTTGGTGTTTTCATTACCCTGAAAAAAGGCGCTTTTCCCTTGTGACCAGCTTTGTTGAAGCAGTGAGAGTTTTAGACTTTCTGATGGCTTGAATTTTGTTGCATTACCTTTAACTTTAGTTTGTGCGATCTACAAGAGTAAATGCAGTGTGTCCAACCTGAAACTCTTATCCTTCCTTTATGGGTTTAGGGACTTTCAATCAAACTGGAAATTTTATTGCTTTTCAATGCATTTACTTTCGAGGTATTTTGATCTTCCATTGCAACTCGAATTTTCAAAGTTGCCAAGCCATCACGGGATTTCGTTTCCATCGAATATTAGTTTAACACAATCTATCTTAAGTACTCTCAGTTTCCAAATTTTGGTTGCTCCATTACCCGAAATTGCCTCCATTTCTTGTGAAGGGTCACGATCCTCTCTCCCATTGATCAAATAAACGTCTGCGGATTAGTACAGCCTCTCTCTGTCGTTTATCAACAACTCTCAAAAACTACCCTTTTGTGTGTGTGCGTGCGCCCTGATGTGACTGGGGCATCAAATTTGGTCGTAATTTTTCTTCCAACGCGCACTAACACACCAGTGTGTGCACGCGCCTTCATTAATCACAATTTCGACTCTTTCGCCTTCATACCCTTTTTATCCATCCACTTAGTCAGCTAGAGAGAGGGTGGGGTAGAGCGGGCGCGAAAAAAGTTGGGGGCTGTGCATGCGCTCGTCGAAATTACCTCGCATCTCGGGGAGAGAACATGGCTTTACCTATTTAGTTCCCTTTGAAATAGCCTCACCCTTGTTCTCCATTTTTTTCACCGCAAACTTCTACCGTGACTTTTAGAGTAGATCCAGTAGGGGTTTATTTCTTAGCCTAATTTATTCAAAATGACTGCTGCTAATTTTTCGCATGCGGGCGTCTTTGAATGCATAAATACCATCGCTTTTGCAAATGCAATGCAATGTTAAGCCGTCCGCACCGCATACTAGCATGGCGCGCCACACTTTTCAGATGGCGGATTTCGCTCCCTGTTTCCATTATTTTTCCATGGTGTAAATGTGTAAGTTTCTAGCACTCCTTGCTCATCTCTTACATTCCTTCCTTTTACTGAAACAGATTACATCTTAAAAGAACGTCTCTCTAACTAGGTGTGTACTTTTATTGTTTTTGCGTTGAACCGCATGACAATTTCGATCCTTAATTGAGACGGTTGCTGATGAGCCGCTGTTCACTACTCAACTTGTTCAACACTACAGTGCCACCAGCAGATATTTTTCTTGTTAGGCGTTCGATTAAGTAGCGCTTTTCCTTCATCCTACATGCGCTTTAAAATTTCGCCTTTTTTAATGTGCTAAGTATTATGCCCGCTGAAAGTAGTCATGTTTACTGCACTTTGAGCCAGCGCTTGGGATGCTGGTACTTCACAAGTGCCCTAATATTTTACCCTGATTCATTGTTTCCTCACACTTTTACATAGTATTTTATATCCTATCGCTTCGCTCCTTGCATCGTGTTTTGCGTAGATTTTGCAGCTTTTTCATCAATAAAAGTGCAACCCAAGTTCATTTTAGGAAACTGACAACCAACGAACTGATGATATGTTTGACGATCTAGTGAGGCTTTGAAACGCTCTACCCTGGGATGGTATTTCAAGATAATACGTTTAAAATAGAGTCATTAGTTTATGTCCCATTATGTTTGAATTATGAAAGAATGAATTGCATCTGCTAGTATATAGATGGCGTAAATTAAGTAAAGCTGAATTAGAGTAATTGGCTGCTGCTTTCGCTAGCTGTGTAAATGGAACCTGCGGGTATTTGTCAAAGATCCTTTCGCCGGGAAATCTCTTAGTGTTCATTGCATCTCTTCTTCACAGTTGAAAGCAGCACAAGGTATACGAAGTAGTTTTCTCCTCCAACGGCTGATTGCATCATCTTCAAACAAACCGCAGACGATCATTCGTGGCGCTTATGTTGGCAAGGCCGCCGCCACATCCAACTCCTCTTGTCCTGACAAAACAGACGCTTCAAGCGCTCAAGTTCGGCCCCTCGCTCTCAGCCACCCGACTTATAGCCTTCTGCAGGGCAACAAACAACACCGGCGTTCCCTTATCACTTCGCTCGTCAACCTCTTTGACATGGACTACGTGCGTTACATCCCATCATAGTCAATTGCATTTTATTACCTGACGAGACATTAGCATGCTGTTCCCATACCGTGTGGCACTAGGTTGCTCCTTCCACTTCCCTATCTTTACTTCAGCTTATGTGTAGATGGGCGGACACATGAGTGTGCGGAAAAATGCCTAACCAATAGTAGCTGGCTTTTCGACTGTACGTCCGCACCCATAGCCACGTGGACAAAACGAGTAGCTTATTCTTCCCTCCTCTCTTGACCGTGTCCTTAATCGGCATTGCTATGACCTCTTGAAGATGACAGTAGAATCTCTTATCCTAGTTCAATTTCAATACTGGCTGGATTGGTTACAAATTTAGTAAATTAGGCAGAATGAGCGGTGCCAACGGGGTTCGTTTGGTGGAAATGTCGCTGTTGCAGAATACTCCGTACTAATTGTGCACAAAAAGAATATGATCTGAGTGTATGACTAGCTACCTATTCGAGTGGTTCTTCAGTAATTAAATATCAATCGTACTTTTTCGTCTACCGTAGATTCCGCAACCAGCCTCCCAATCCATCTCACCTTTCACGTCGTTAACGTCGGATGGTGGAGTAAGGAAATCTGCCTCTACTAGCAGTGTCACGACAACTAATGTCGTTGACACAGTATCCGAAGAAACTTGCCTTTCAGAACTCATCTATATCTGCGATCACTTAGCTCACTTCCCCTATAAGACAGTGGATGAAGTCTACTATCTGGCACACTATCTCGACCTCCGTATCGGTACAATTGGATCAGCACTGGTTCGTAGCCTTCAAGATTGCCTTCTTTCGACCTCTCAACTGAAAGCAGAGTCTGGCGCTACCGCAATTGATGCTGATGCTGCACCAGAGCCCTCTTCTCTCGTTCTTGATCGAAAGGTGAGTTTTTCGAAACTCTGTCCTTAGTAGTGTGTAGATTTCCACAGTCATGCTATGTCGGTCGTGTGTTTACGCGTTTGCCTTTGGGTCCACTTGGTATGTCTGTCTCTTACTAACAAGTCCCCGTGATTTCATGTCTCATGGAGTTTGTCCTTGCTTACGAGTCTATTATCCTTACTTTACTACGTTTTGCCTTGGTTTGCTGACTACTATCACTTAATAAATTGTCTCTCGTTTTGCCATAGGAATTGCGTCCATCCTTTACTACCTGGAATTGACAATTTCACAATTCATGAGACTTATTCTGTTAGGTGACAACTGAAAAGTTTATGAATACGTGTTTCACTGACCTCGGGTGTTTATTATTTTACGTCCCTTGTTCTCCGGAATTCCAAGGCTTTATTTTGTAAAGAAATCGTGAACTTCCTTGGGCAGTTTACTGTAGAACAATTGTATATAGTAGGTTGGGATAGGGTCCTCTCCATCATATCTTTCTCAACGAATGTTATCTGATCCAGTCCAAATTAATGTTTATTAAGCCTGATTTCCTCTTCTCTCAGGTAAACAATCTTCTCGACGATGTGGAGTCAGAACTCTTTGCCAAATCGGCCATGCCTTTGGAGGTTGGTCCGAATGAACGAAAGGTCATTGAACGCATAAATCGGCCAGTCGCTGCGGACAAACGTCAAGCCTTCCAAGAAAAGGTCTTTCGCAATGGTCCTGCCTGTCTCCTTCTCATGGCCATCCGCAAATACCTCCAAGAAGCCTATGATGTCACTTCTAAGTGAGGTTTTAGCATTTTTTAATTGCGAGACATTCGCATCTCTTTAAACACTATTGGTTCATTTGTCTCAAAATGATGGTTGATCGTCTTCAATCGTCTGGATGTTAGAGCCATGCAAATTTGGCCCTTTTCAGCGTATAGGCGGTGTAAACGGAGCTCCTTTCTGCTAGCGTGTTAGCCAATTTGTGGGCACACAATTAAGACCAACACCATTTTCACGTCGCTCCTGTTTCGATAATCGCTCCTGACGCTCCTTTTTGTACGTTGGTGGTCGAAACACTTGTGGAAGATAAATGGAATTCATCTAAGTTCTCGTACCCGCAAAATTCCTTGATGCTGTGTTGTTTACAATTGGCGTATATTTTTCATTTTCTTGTTTTTCGCATTTTATTTATCAAACAATTTGATGTTCTTGCGAGACATTAGAATTGGGACATACTCCGCAGAAAAGCTCTATTTTACTAGGTCTATTTCCCGATTTCAAGCCTCTTTTGCACGCCGTATCGGCTAACGTTATCTCTTATCAACTTCTTACTATGCAAAAAGGTATCAAATTTTGAAATTTTGATAAATGTGGCTTCTATTTTGTCGTTGTAGTAGACGCTTTAATTTCGGACAGCTGTCGAACACCACCTTGTTTTTAGTTCAACTGTTTTTATTCTTTGGTAGCTTTTTAAATCTTGATTGTTGCATTTTTTGAACGATATCATCGCAACTGTCATTGATCTAACAGCGAAGCAATCCTCGTGGACACAAAAGCATAGATTCCTAGAGTTGTGTTAGTCTATGTGCACCGATAATCAGGGAAAAGTGTTTAAATAGCTGGTCAAAGGATGACTGACATCAGGGGTTTGAAAACTGATTCGCGCAATCACTAGTAGCAGTATACTCGCGAAGTGTCTCATTTGGTCAGTTAAATTGAGAACTGTCTTGTTTTCCTTTAGCAAATTGAACTCCTACTCTTCTACCGACGAAAAACATTTGCAAAAGCCCATTCCATCGCCCTCAGCACGCGCTCTTCATTCGGGTATGCTCTACCGACTGGTTGAGATCCCCACTCTGGTTACCACCTGCGCTCTCAGTCATGCATGGCCGATCGTGAGCCCTAGTCTGAAGGAGATCCATGTCCGCGAATGTGATACTGAAGATGCTGTAAACCTGGAAACCAACGTCCTACGTGTGGCTCTCCTTGTTCATCGGCAGTTGTTTACCGTTGATGGGTCCAATGAAGCACTGGGTATAGAAATTGCGCCTCCCCCGCCTCCTCTCCAACCCCCGGTAGCTCGCTCCTCCATCGCTCCTAGTAGCGAGGGCGTACAATCGAAGAGAGTAGCCGTGGCTGCAATGCCAACCCATCGGGAGACTGAAAAATTCAAAGGTATAAATCTTTGTTTTATTGGAATCATTTCTTTTGAGGCTCTAACAACTTGGACTTGTTGATTTGTGTTGCAGCCCTTTTTTATTTAAAACAGGATGTGATGGAATGGCAAAATCACATCATAACAAAAGGTCTTCTCATGTTTCATCGGATTTTCTGTTTTATGAATCTTTTGTGCGGTTAAATTCACATACTTTGAGCTGTTGGAGTGGATTGTATTGCATTCACTGAGCATTCCACAGAAGGAAGTCTAATGAAAATGAGTTTTATTAACAAAGTGCTTTGATTATGGGAAAATCTAAGCAGATGGACGGTTCGTGGTGTGGCTTTGTGTCTGCCCCCTGGTTTTTCATTGCCCCGATCAAATCCGAAGTACCCATACAGTATTGTTTGGCAAATGCGACCTTTCAGATTCAGGCGACTGGATATTTCATTAGTATGCCAACGTTTATAGATTTGGCATTTGCGTTACATATACGCCAACACTGTCTAAGTTTTTGCGGCATCCGCTGAGGTCATAGAGGGTAACTAAACCTCTGCCAATTTACACTATTTGGAATCCTAACTGCTAGATGTCTGGTTTAGTTTAATGGTTCTGGATGGCTTAGCTTCAAGGTAGAGACAGACACATTGCTCATGTCTTGCTTTTCAACGTTCATTGGCCTTCTTTGCAAAGCCTGTGAGCAGTGAACTCCTCCGTCGTGTTTTAATTTTGGCGATGCAATGAGTTCATCAAGGTGTTTTTTTTGTGGATTTTGAAGTTTGGTTTGTAATGTGGTCATCTTCGGAATTATTTCGCCGCGTTGTTAGGCAATCATGCGCTTTTAAGATTGGCTTTTGAGGGTTTACTACTTGTATGGTTCAATGTTGCTAAAATATGGGTACCAGCGATCATTCAAGTGTATTCACATCTGTGTGTGGGTAAAAAGCGGACAGTCCTCGTTATTCCATGCACTAAAAACTTTCACAGACATCTCCCGTGAAGTGCTTTGTCTCTCTTTGAGCAGTAGTGGAGACCTGAACTTTTCCAGGGTTGGGTTGGATATGAAAAGGTGGATGCAACATAACTCCTAATTCTCGTCTCATTTTTAACCGTTTATATTCGTCTTTTGATCTTACATTGTTGATTGCTATTAGCTGCTCTCCATTCGCTCCTACTGTATGGTTTATGTTACCAAGTTGGTATTCTTAGCTATGAGGTGATAAACCTGGAAGCTGGTTGTACTTGTTCATTGGGGAGTTCGAGTGCTTTCGCTATGCAGTTTCACCGAGTTTTCCTTATCACGGCTTTCTTCACTTATTGTGACATGGAAAATACTGGCCTTTGGCTTATTTGTTAGCATCATTTTGTCCTGCTATCTGAATGGAATGAGTATTTGACAGGAAGCTCTAGACACCTGCTTTGACGGTCTATAATGTACAAAATTAAAATTCATATCAGTGGCTTTCCTGGTGATTCGTATCCTCTTTTTTTATCATTTAGAAAAATCACACAGTGATCACCGTAACTCAACCAAGATGCTGGTAAAGACTGGTCATTCCTCGTCTGCAAAGTATCGGCGAGTCGTTGAAAACGCAAGCGAGGATAGGACGGGAAACTTGAGCGACAGCCTCTCTTCTCTGTCGGACACTAGCTCGATACGCAAGGTGGCGACCGGGACTAAACACCAGTCCGCCTCTGTGAGATCTAGTGAAAAGAAAAAGCGGCATCAGCCCTCATGTTCGCCCTCCTCCAAGTCGACGAAACACGTGAGCTTCCCTACCTTCACACACACACACACATACACACAGCTTTAGTTTTTGATACGTATGCAACCGCCAGAAAAAAAATGTCTGGTTAAATATTTATTTATTTAGTTACTTACCACATTCATTGCCTCTCAAAGTGAGATAGTGTTTTCAAGTGGAAAAGTGTGACCTTTTGCAACTTTCATTACAGTTGAGAACTTGTAAATTCTGTTAACGGCGTGGCAGTTTGCTTGTTTTTTTATTTGCTTTTGTGGAGCAGATTGAATAACGATCGCTTAGGAAAGGGGTTACAGTCTTTGGGGACCCACTTGCTAATGAGTTTCTTGTGGCGTTGGTGCCCGCTCAAATCACATAATGAAAGATAATAGCTCAGTGAATTTTAACTTTACTAGGTGCCTGACGCCTTATTACTGTTCATTAGGTCTCATGTTGCTAACCTTCGAAAAGAATCAAGCAAATGACCTGAAAGGCAATTCACATTTTGAAAGAGCGCTCATTCGAAGCTGATTAATCAGTAATATCATGTTTGACTGATTTTTCACAATTGAAACTGTTTGCGGAACGCAAAACAGGTGGTGCGTAGTTCCATTTCGGTAGGAGTTCTTATTCCGCGACCTTCGGACGGAACCACTTGGAGTTCGTTGTAGATTTTAGCTGAAGTAGATTCGACTTACGGTACCATTCTCAAAAGGTTTTTTTGTACTCTTATGGGCCCCTTTGTTTGATTAACTTCTCATTTTCGTAAGAAATGCTATCTGTTTACTGTGCTGGCATTGTTTAAGATGTGCCTTCTTTAATTAGCTCAATAAGTCGAATCCAGAGGGTGCCTCAACCCTCAGCAAACACAATACACCTTCCTCCATACCAAAGAAAGATACCACCACAAAGCCGAGCTCGAGAAAACGTCAGCTCCACTTGAGCGATGCAGAGCTCTCCTCCCTCTCCAGTCCGGAGGAGAACTCTGAACTCAATCGAAAACTCACAAAACGCCTTCTACAGCCTTCGCCGTCGTCGTCGTCCGCTAAGAAGACAGTGGCATCGACTTCTGCTACAGCAGAGAAGTCTGCTTTCTCCCGACCTAAGTACGATCTCGCTCCCCTTCCCGGCACTCCGGACATTCTGACGCAACAGGAGCAGCGTCGGAAAATGAAGGCTCTCGCTGCCAAAAAGGCCGTGGCCAAACATCTGTTAATGGAGACAAGTAAAAAGAAGTCTCAGGCTGCTCAACCGCCTGTCAGAAGCGAGAGCTTCAAGAGAGAGGTTGGGAGCTGATTTTTTTGTTCTATCTTACTTTGTACATGCTTTTCCCAACCAGCGCTGATTTATTTAGTGAAATGCTTGTGTGCGAGCGTGTGAGTAGTGTAGGAGCACAGGCAAACCACTTGGCACAACACTGTTAACTTCTTGCCGTGTTTTAGGAATCTTCACAAAGTGAGCCATCACGTGTGCGTGAGTATACACTCATCCACACACAAACACACACGCTTAATAACACGGTTTGTATGCGCCCCAGTGCCTACTTTTCGTTTCCTCGCTTGTTTTATGCTTTCTTTTCCCCTGCCTCCTCTGGCTGATTCACACCGCCTTATTGTCTCTTCTTCCTGCTCTATTTATTTCGTTCCACTATTTACACCACTTTTCCGTTTAATAATTAGGCACTCACTGCGTACCCACTGGAAATACTTGCATTTGATTTATGCCACACTCTATTTGACGAATAATGTCGAAGTAATACCTCACTCATAGGGCGTTTTATTGCGAAAGGACATAATGTCGTTTTACGCACTCTCTGGGTCGCTTTTTCCCCTCATGGATCACTTAGTGATTACATCAACTTAACCAACCTTCGCAGACCTTATTACCACTTAGAGTTCGCCTATCTCTGCACCATCACCTCCCATCATATTCATTTACTATTTTAGACCTAGATCCTGACTCTTAGAAGCTAGCTGAGCAGCTGTAAGTCTGGTTTGAAAGTCCGCTAAATGTCCCTTTAGTTATTGTTTACCTCTGTGGTTTTGTACGCAAATATGGTCTCGCATTTAGCCTCTCTTTTCACGCTTTTAGTCGAAAAGGTCTTCCCGACCGATCAACGATGATAGCGACTCAGATGTTGAGGAGGCATCCCTGGTTTCGTCGGTATCCTCCGTCTCTGCGTCCCCATCTTCTAGGGACTACTCTGATTCCGATTAGATGCCTGCTCCTGTCTTCCTGCGCATTGTTTCCCAATTCTCTCCTATCCTCTCATCTTTTTTTAAAAGAAATTAGAGAAAAATATGGATAGCAAAGCTCCACCAGCATTTCGTGATGTTTGTACAATTAACCAAGCACCTGACTCCTTGTTTCCTCCTCATTCCTATTTTATATGTTATTTTCTCTTCGCACGCTCATATACCATCGGTCTTCCCTTTCGTCACCACCTTCATCTCGCACACCAGTTTGTGTGCGCTTTCTCTGTCTCCTCCTAGGCTTTTTTTCTGTTTTTCTCCCTTCTTTTCTACATTGTGGGTTCTTATCCTCTCCTCCTCCTCCCCCCTTCCTTCTTGACACGCACCCTCTCATTTCTCCTTCTGCGTTCATTGGGGATGCGTGTTGCTCCCACCTAAACCAACAATATTTTGATAGTTTTATTGATCGTGTGTCCATAAGATTCGCTCTATATATCTCTATCTCCACACACGTACAAACTGTAAGCTTCCGTCCCGGCTTACCAGTCGTGTTTATTCTCTTCTTCAATTGCTACTATTGCTATTGCTGCCTGCCTAGGCTACAGCCACATGGGCAAGAAAGATTATCTTTCACATGTTTATCAGTGGTTTTGTTATGAGATGAGGGAAATTCTCCTTTCATTGTGAAAGGACCGCGCATGATTGACTCGGTGCAGTCAAGTTCCATTTAACCAAAGTAACAACTTTCAACCAGACTTCCACAAGGGCCTAGCAGCAACTCCCAGCGATTGTGGATCTTTCGGACAGCGCTGGCGAGGGAAAGCGTCGACCTCACCTAAGGTAAGACACTAAAGGCGCTTACGACAAAGGTGAACTGACTTCGATGCGGTCATGCTGCTAAGGTCGCACAGCACTAGAATATGGTGTTACATCACGGCAGGACGCGTTTCGTGTGCATACGTCTTGACACCCACAGGCCCTCGCCGAAAGATGAATCAATCTCAACATGCGACAAGGCAAGCACTATCCAGAACTCCGCACAACATTTCTTCGAAACCACTGGTGGAAAAAAAGGTCAAAACTTAAATGCAAAGCATAGGTTTGTGTTAAAAAAAACTAAATAAATTAGAATTCCGAAACAAGACAACCACAAATTGGTAGAACATAATAAGCTGCTGTTATCGTCACGATTCACTTTGTAAATCATCGTCTTAGTAGCCTAAGTGGGGAGTTTTTTGATGCAAAAATTTGGGCGTCTTTACGCTAATTCGAGAGGACATTCGCTGCAAGCCCAAGTGGTTACGCAAAATCGATGTTGGAGTTTGTTCGATAACATCCCTAATAGTTGCTCTACTGTTGCTAATCGCAAAGTTCCTTACTTGGGCCACGTTTTGCCCGTCGGTCGAAGTTAACGGTTGGCCGCAGTGGGACTCCTAAAGCACCTCATGCCAACGTAACTCCTATTTTTGGAGAGTGGATTCCGCCATAGTCTTTTTGAGTTAATTTCTGGGTTTTATGGGGGTGTAGCCGTTACCAGCTAAGGTCCTTGGTGTACTTCGCTGAGCGAGTACACTGGAAATGGAAGCCCTTGCAATGTTATCAAACAATGTTTTACTTCACGACCTGCCCCTCCTTTCTCACTGTGGTTGCAGGTGGTAAAAACCGCCACATGGTAAATTCAAATTCATGGCGCTCAGTAATCATAAAGCCTTCCACAAAGGTTACGACTCAAAATCCAGTCCGAATTTTTTTCTAATTCAATGAAGTAAAAATTCCAATAATTCCATTCGTCAAACTCCCACGCCACATCCGAACTGTCTCAAAGCATGAGATAGCAGGCAACGGAAACATCGACAATAGTGAATGCTGCGGTAGGCACATAAATACTGATCAATAACACAAACATAGCTGCGTGAGCAAAAAATGTATGCTGGAGTTAGCTCCAAGTTCCATTTCAAATTGTGCGCAGGCTTTAACTGTTGGCTCAACACTACCTACCGATTCCGAGACACACAAAATTCCATGAAGGATTCTACAGCCTTTAAGAAGATGTTGCGTCGTAAAGTTCACAAAATTATTGGAATTTTGCCTCAATTCTGGTTCTTGAGCAAAACAAGGGTCACTTTGAAGATATTTTGACCTCTTCAATTTCCTATCCAAACATTTCCATTCATGTCGAGGGTTATTTTTCAAATTACCTTTGCAAGGGTACACGTTCTTTGGCACAAAGAAATGAGACAGTTCCATAAGAACTATGGTTTGAATAATGCTTACGGAGATTTACGAGCAAAAGCGAAGGTAATCAAAAATGTTGCGAAGGACATCGCACAAGATACCGACTATGCAGCCAACTGTGGCGCACAAAAGCGAACCATGTAAAGGCAAGATCAACTTAAACCGACAACTGAAAAGTAACCAGCTGAACAGAATCGGTAAACAATGTTTGGCACAATCAACAAAGTCGCCGACGTCTTTCAACAACGCTACTGATAATCTCAAAATAGGGCTTGTATGAAGACGTTGTCAATCCAACAAGATTAGCGGGTTTGAAATAACAGTTTAAAGCCAAAGCGTTATTGCTTTAAATTGGAGCAAGCTCTTTCCAGTCAAACACTATGAGTCAATGCGTTACAAATGATTTAAGTTAATGTGTAAGGATCAACTAAATGGCACAGGAGTCCGAAATGAACATAAGTACAGACACGGCTGCCTAAATATCAAGTAAAGATCCAACGCATTATAAGTATACCAGCGTAATCTTTAAGCGCCATAAATGAAGGAGTATTCTCGTTAGAAAACAAGCAAAAAAGATTAGAAATAAATTTTGCCGAAAAAATAGCGTTAATGTTGTAAAGTGTGGTTTTTTTTACTTATCTATGTTCACTTTACCTAGCCATATTGACAGCGGCAGCACAAACGTTTATTAGTATAAACTAACCTAAATTTATTTTACACAATTGTTCATTCTTTTAGATGCAGAATAATAAATAACAAATTCTTTTTAGTTGCATTTACTTTTTTATTTAGTCATAAGTGATTTTATTTAGGCTGTCCATTGTAATCGATTAAAATAGTTTGTTTAAGTCATCCGTCCTAGTTTGTACATCCCTGTTTGCGCGTAACCGTTAAGCGTGAGGGTCTTTTATTTTTATGCTTGATATTTTGCTTATTTTAGCATTGTCTTTGTAAATAATAAGGTGGCAAAGTCTCACGCATAGTTTTGTTTCATATAGGGAGTTCTTTGCTCATAATGCCGCGTCGTAGTTCGAATAAAAGTGATAGCCCCGTTCCTAGGCGTCAGAGTGCACGTATTGCTGCAGCTAGCGCGAATAAGACACCTACGCCTTCGCCAGTCAAGAAAACCCGTCGATCTTCAAAGGTAATTGTACGTTGTTCGCGCAACCTGTGTAGAGAGCTTCGGGAAGTAAGGTGGAGAACGCTGAGGACAGAGTTGATCATAATGGAACTGAGATTATTTACAAAGATGCTTCACTTCCGGAACCAGTTGAAAAGAAGCAGAAACTTGATGGTGGTTAAGTATTCTTCCACTAATTTGCTTTCAGAAACTACTGATTTATCCGGAAAGCAGGTCGGAAGTGCTCAGGAATCGGGAAAAAAGGAGGAATTATCACCAAAGGACTGTGAGGCATCAAAGGTGGATTTTGAAGGTAGTATCGTCCAAGTTTTATATATTTGATTGTGGTATTTTAAAATTCTTTCATGAACTGCTGACTAGTATGTAACTGTCATTTGCGTTGAAATATTTTTTTGACCTACTATGTCCTCTAGAAGTGTGAAACAATCGGCTTTCGTCAGTACGTTGGCTCTCGTCTTTCTTTGTCTATAATTTACAGGAAAATTTTTAAATGTTAATGTGACATTGCACTTTGTATTTGTTGGCTGTGTATGATTTAATCTTAACGAAGGCTTTTATTACCTTATCTTTTGCAGCCGCGCGAGAGGCTGGTTTCGAGGTTGTAGAAAAGTCGAGTGTACCTCAGTCAGATAGTGAAGAAGTTAGATCAGCCATTTCTGCTCAAGGTGAAGATGGCCAATTGCTCGTTAATTATGTTCAAGTCTCGAAAGATGATGTTCCAGCCGCCGTTCCAGAAAATAACACTCCTACGTCAGGGGACAAGCCCCCTGCAAATGGTACCGACACCGTGGACCTGTGCAAGGGTGGTGAGTTATCTGCATCATCAATTTCGTATTGTATTTATTTCGATAGTGGTCACATTACGATCCTGGATGTTTTAGATACAGTTGTCATTGAACCCGCTGGCGAGCAACTCACCGCCGTAGACCCCGAGCAGAAGACCGAGGAAGTTGCAGCTGACAAACCTCCCGCAGCAGAAGGAATATCTCAATAGGGTTTATACGACAGTACTATCACTCACCTTTTTCATCAACCTGGTGACTTCCAAGCGTGCATAGTTCTGTTCCGGCATTTGTCCGTCCTCACAAATCCAACAAATCTTGTACACAGTATAAGCCAATGTGAGCGCTTGCCCGTTCGGACTCTCAAATAATTTCCCATACTTGTTTCGTTTTGGCACCTTTTTACATTGCGCTCTCTGTCTCGCTCTCTCACTTCTCTGTCCGTTGTATATTTCCTCTTCCACCATTCTGTAACGACATACTTGTCTGCAGCCTCTCTACCCTACTCACCCATCCACCCTTCGCTTATTAATATCAGATCCGTTATATATTTGTAATCTTTTGGAGCAGTGCTGCTTCTGCACTTTAGTCGTTAATGTTCATTTGGTACATGTAATGGATGTAAGCTATTGCGCCCCACCCCTATCTAAAGGTCAGATTTATACTCTTATATGCCTATATATATAAAGTATTTGCACTCATACAATTAGCCGAGCATTAGTCTCTGCCCAATTACGTACATTCACCTCCACATTTTGGGTACTTGCATGCCTCCTGCATTTCTACTACGTGGAGACTTTTCCTATATTCAATAAAATTCGGGCTCCTGTCTGATTGTAAAGTGGGGTCGTTTCTTCTTTTCTTGCCTACGGGGTGGGCACTCATGTGTTGATTGACATTGGCGCCTATTGTTTACCTTAACCTGTTTGGAACCATAGGGGTCCCTGTTGCGGTATCACCTGACGGTGTATTGTGCTTAAGCGCGTAGCGGCAGCTGTGGGTCCAATCATCTGAGTCGGTCCTGCTCACATGGTTGCTTAGGCGGTTTAGAGGCGCCATCGGCTTGCTTGTGATCATATGCATTGCCTCTTGTGGTTGTAGTATTTACCAGTTGCATGGAGCATCTGGTGCTGAGCTTAAATTCATCAGTCACGTGGTGGCTTTTCTGTGGCATACGGGGTAACCCTTATTTCTGCTAAAGCTGCTAGTTCGTTCGCAGTTTCTGTCAAAGAGTCTCAATTCAACTCCTATCTCCACTTGTATTGATCGCGAATTGTCAAAATCTAGACGGTAAGGGTACAGGCTCCGGGTGGGTGTCTAGGCGGGTCCACTTCTCTCCCAAATTCCACAGTAGGTCTCTGGCCTCGGACCTGTCTACGCCGTCGTCCCGCGACTTCATTCTCTTCAATTTTTGAAATACAGGTGCTTCAGTGGTCGCACTCTCCAACAGTCCCAAGCGCTCCATTGTAGCTACGGTACACATCACCTCTGTCGCTGTGACGCGCTGAGGCACTACGCGGAGGATCAGGTGACCCAGATTGAGGTAGCTCCTACCAATGCTCCCAAACCATCGAAGAGGGGCAAACTGAATTGCTTCGCCAGACAATTCAGGAGGCGGTGAGGTCCGATTCACTAAGGGGTCAGCTATCATTACTGTGGGCCCTGTTTCGGCTGTCCGTTTGGCCAACTCACTGAATTGAGAAATAGCTAGTTTGTATCGCAAACAAACTGATTTCATATTCACATACACGCACACACACAAACACGAAAAGGGGAATGCATTTCAAATTAGCCGGAGTGTGTTTGCATGTGTGTGCGTGTATGCGTGAGGCTACTCTATGAATAAACACAGTTTCCACCGCTACACCGCATGACTAATCATTCCAACCAGTCTCTGCGTGCGAATGTTTGCACGTCGACTTCTAGACATGCTACTCACATGCCTCGTGGAAAAAAGCACAATCTCAACATCAACCATCTCCAAATTCTCCTTCTTCTTTGCTTGCATTTCTACCATCGAATCACACCTATCCATGAACCCCAAAGGAGATATCTAACTATCATTGAGTACATAAGCATTAATTTCGCGCAGTGGTGGTAGAGGCGGCGGCAGCATTGGGCTGTTTACAAGCCTGTCTGTCAGTCTAAACTATTATCCGTGAGTGGAAGCGTGGTGCAGACAGACGAGCGCCTGTTATTGCGCAGCCATATCTACATCGCCTTCCATCACCCTGGTGCAAACGACAGGACGTGTGACGTGTCATGTTGTTTGGAAAAAATTGCATATCAAACCACCCCCACTGCCGCCGCCCTTATAGCACACACCGTGCAGTGCAGTAGCTAAACTGTGGGGAGTGTCGTAGCCGGTCGCCCGCCATCGAACAGACGCACGCACGTGCACGTGCGCACACGAACAGGTTAAACCAACTGGGGATTTGGGTGGCAGTGGGTTTGCTGGAGTAGGCAAAGTGGCAAGGGCAAGCATGATGCAAATGCACCCTCACGTTAGTTGTTGTCCGGCAAGTGAGACAGCCTGAGAGCGGGAGGGGGGAAACGCATCCACCATCACTTATGTGAGCGTGCGTGCGTGTTTCTCTGCGTGTGCCCGTTCATGCACGTCCCGAGGAGGGAGTGAGGGCGATGATTCAAGGGCTGCGCCCTAGTGGATTTGAAACACCTAGTCGCTTCATGTGGCATGCAAGCCACCCATTAGCCTGTATTCCGTTGACTTAGAACTTATGTATCCGCGTTTTATGTCCATGCACGACTGCGCTAAAGCGATCCATATCAACACAACCTGCTGAAGTTAAGGTCACAGTTTTAGGCTATGGTGTATGCGCTCGTCTTATGAGGTTAACCAAGTACATGAACACACAACAGTGCCTTGCCATTTCATCGTTCTGCAGCACTAAAACATTTACAGCCTCCAAATCCATTGCCTTTCCTTATGACTTACTAACTTGGTAGTTAAACTTATTGCCCTTAGCACATACCATAAACGGCATGGACAACAGATCGAACTTTACGTATGCAGTTGGCAAGATCCTCCACAAAAGGTAGACTCACTCAGCAAATAGACGGAGTGCCCACTGTGCCCTCTGATAACCCGCCGAGGGAGAATAACCCTCGCTCCAGTTCCAGTTATCAATCGGGAGATGCACGACACTGGTGACGGGATCTCTGTCAGCTATGGCTTCGGCGAACCCAGCGGCGCGTGTGTCAATGGTAAATATAATCCTGGCATCGCGACCTGGTCCGCTCATAGAAGGCAAGAGAAGTCGTGTAAGGAGATAAAAGGAGAAGAAATTTGTGCCAAGTTGATGCTCAAAGGCGTCATGGGTGAGTCTTCGTTCACCGGCGATCACACCGGAAAGTAGACCCGGGGGTTGAATCAGTAGACGGTCGATGCCTTTGGGGTAGTCTTTAATAAGCGCGCCAGCAAACCGACGGATCGACCGTGAGCTATCCAGATCCAAGCGACGACAGTCAATGCGAACCTCCTCTGTGCCTGGAACCCATCGCATCAAGCGACTACGAGTGTCTTCGCAATCGTCCATGGAATGCGATGCAAGCACCAAGGTAGCCTTGCGTTCTGCCAACTCTTGAACGAGGTTCCGTGACATTCGACCTCGGAAACGAAAAAAAAGAGTCTAATGTGCTCTCTGTAAGAATGAAGTGCTGTGTACTGCTCTCCTGTAAAACGACTCCCTCTATTAGCGACAAAGAGACAGTGAGCGGAAGATAATATGCAAGCGAGAGATTACTTACAAACTCTCGACTTCATAAAACCTGACACAGCGTTAATACGCAAAAACCTCTGCAAACCACCGCGTACTCTCAACAACGTAAACTGATTTTGGCTTGTCCATAAGTAGATGACTGAGTGCACGGAAAGTTACCATGAAATAAATCAGTTCATCAGTCCAATCAAGTTGCGAGCCTGCATCTAGATGTAACAACTTACTAGTTGCCTCAGTGATAACAATGACCTTCCCCTGTAGATCCGATTCAGGGCCCTTGTAAGTTGGTGCTTTGACAACCAGTTTGTAGATGAAGAAAGTACCACCCGCGGTAAGCAGGGTCAAGAGAGACTTTTTAGCGAAGCTCCAAGGCTTCTTTAAAGGTGGAAGTGGTCGGACCTGAAAGAAACAAGTATACACATCTTGGGATGTGCAAACGCCCCCCACATCCAAAGAGGCACAAGCCTTTACATCAAACGAAAGTCCACCTTGAGACACATCCTTCTAGAACAATGCTCTAGTTCTCAACGTGGTAGAGATACCCGCCCATTCAAGAAAAGTTGTTCTACAGAAGTCAATTCAAAATGAGACGTGTCGACACTTCTACTGAATTAATTTCAGTATCGATACCCTCAATCAGAATTCACGAAAAGTGAAGGCAACTTGAGAAAAAAGCTTTTGGATTTGACAGAAAAACAAAACACGAAAAATTGTTACTTTGACATTCTACCAGAAAGTATCGTATGGATCAAGAAGAGCCCTTGAGCTCGAAGTGTAGCCAGCCCCAGTCTCTGAAGAAACACCAACACCATCAACACCACCAGCACTGGCAACGACAACAACGGAGGTTGATTGAGTTGAAACTGGATCAGCATGACTGGTATCAATCTCGGAGAGGGAAGAGGAGGATGCAGAGGAGCCAGAAGAAATGCTAGTCATGCGAGGGTTGTTATGGGTTGGTTGAATCTGATTATGTGCCCTTTGTGAATCTACGGAAGCTCGACCGATGAGCACAGAACGATGACCCGGACTGAACTGCAATTGATCACCATCCTGACAGGAAATGAAGTAGATACAAACTACGTCAGTCGTAATATCAACAGTAAATACATTAGAGCATTCACAGAGCACTTGACCATGAATCCTAATGCATCTAGCACGAACTCAAAAAACGCTTACATTTGACTTGATGAGAGATTCATTGCGATCAAGAATAGCTTCAGCTTCAGCTATAAGGCGTTCTTCATCAATACTTTCACATTTTAGAAACACAGAAGGCGCTTGAGTGAAGAGTATGGTCCGGGGGAAATAGAGGCTGCAATTGTACATCTCAATCCCAGTTGGATTTCACCTTTGCAGCTGAAACTTCCTCGAAAGGTAATGATTTCGATAGAAAGTGGTTCGCAGATAGATAGACGACACAAAAGCCAAAACTGACCAAGCCAAGCAACATAACAGGTCTACTCTTGATAAATAAAAAAAGCTTCAAAGAAAACAAGTGCGTACAGGCTGAATGAAGAGCTCTGGATTCAGCAACCGAAACACCAAAGTCGATTTTAGCTTCGGAGGAATCTGCTTGACAGGCATCCAAGCACTCGGCGCGCACTAAGACGAAGTGCACACAAACAAATACATACTAGCAGCATCTAAATAAAAATGCAATATCTTAGCGGTTCTTAATTGTATGCAGCCCATAATGAATGCCTAAATTGTGCGCTCAAGCATATGGTTGCATCGGGATAATATGGTTATCGTGTTTGAAGCACCCGACGGTTCTTCGAAGGTCGAAGAATGTATTATTACACCGTGCGGTAGTGAGGTTCGCGATGAATGCTCGTGATTACAAGCCCTTACCTAACGCATGTGTTAAAAATTTGTGCGACAAATTATTCGAGAAGAGGAAGGCAGGTGCAATGGAAGTAGAACAGTAAGCATCAGTAGGGGTTTCATACATCCAAGGCTGGTGAGAACCTATGTTTCAAAAGAGAAGAAGGATGAAATTAGCAAAGTGTTACAAATCTTCCGACACGAGTTCATTATCTCACCAAACGTCAACGTGCGGAAAGGCGCACTTTTTGGCTTAGCATCAGTTGCTATTGGACTAGGGCAGGTAGATTAATACCTTGATTTTGCTAATCGTCAGATCTGTCACTTATACTCTGATGAACTTGTTGCGCCTATTTTTCAAGCTCTTCGAGATACCGATTCACAAGTCAGATACGCTGCCGGTGAGGCTCTTTATAATATATTAAAAGTGCTTCACGTTCACTCTCTGGAATACCTTAACGATTTGTTCGAGGCGCTCTGGACGGTAAGCGACCCACTTGGAACATACCACCTAAGTTTACTTGCTTTTGAATTTTCCTTTCAATGATAGGCTACCGCTGATCCTGAGGTATCCGTCAGACAGGTTGTTGATCACTGTGATCGTCTTTTACGTGATATCGTGATCCAGAATCGCGTAATCGATGTGAAGGCCTTCATGAGCATTGTCTCCGGGCATCTCTATACCCGAATTCCATTTACTCGTAAATTTGTAGTTGGTTGGGTATGTTCATGGCGACTCTAATGAACTCGTTTCCCAGATCTCGACTTTAAATTCTGTTCCTGGACTCAACATAATCCAGTACGTTCCTCAAATTTTGGACGGCCTTTTGACTATTCTCGGTGATGAAAACCCGGATATCCGGCGAAGGTGAGTTTAATGTCTCCATGGCTTCTAGTCTTTACATTCTTACTAATCTGTGTTTGTTTTTTTCTGCCTTTGAAATCGAATTATCCTACAGCTGTGATATTCTTCTGAATGACTTCTTATCCAACATCATCAAGGATTCAGATGCTGTTAACATCCTCTCAATGATAAACATTCTAATCAGTCACTGCCAAGAATCCACTCAGCGTAAGTCTAATCGTTTTTTTGCCTTAAACTAGCATCTTTGTCTCTTCTGCTGTGTAGTTCTTGCTTCAATGGATCTGGATGAGAAGACAGCGGAGGCCCTTCTAAACTTTTCGGGGCCAAATCTTTCGCCTGAGCGGCTGCGACAGATAACCGCCCTTCAATGGATTTGGCAATTCGTCATCATTTCCATATCGAAAGGTCTACAGCTTCTGCCTCTTGTGGCTCCCATCCTCTCTGCTGTCCTCCCCTGCATTGATGACAGAGACGACGTAGATGACAGAAGTGAGTTGAGGACTAGTTGTCATTTTCTGCAGCAAGATAGATTGAGCCTTTGCATTGTATGGATGTGGTATACCTAGGTTGCTTTAAATTTCGCCCGTGCCTTCTTTTACCGGATCATTAAGATAATAAAACAACATTGTTCACAATTTTTCGATTGCGTAACTGAGGAATTTGTAAGAATCTTTTCGCTTGCACATTGTACTTTTTTCTGTAAAATCCTATTTTTCCTCTTCGTCTTAAGTTTTTAAAGCACAATCATCATAGGTTGCGGAGTTTCGGTTATTTTCCTTCAATCACCCTTTCTTGAATACTTCTGGAAATTAGTTTCCAAGTCCTGATCAATTGGTCTCTTTGAGGTAATTTCGTATTTTTGCCAAAGCTCCTGCTATTATTTGTTCAGCATGATGTGGGAATTCATTTATTTATAAAAGATGCTCTCTGCGATTCTCTACCTTAAATGCCAACCAAGTTTGCCGTCATGCTGGAAATGTGGGGTTTTATAGTTTTTTAATGATATTGTAATGCAATGATGTTGTTACATATTTTGCTGATATCCAGTTAATTTAGAAAGAAACTCCTCAACGGCCTTTCGACAGTTTTTAACGTCACGACATAGTTTCCTAAACACTACCGGATAGTGAAGCTCGAAGCTATATTGCCGGTTTTAACCTCAAAATTTGACTTTAAAGTGTGCTTCCAGAAGTGGAACTACTGTAATTACCAAAGAGTTTACAAAGTCTTTAATTTGGTGGCTTTCGCCCTTAATACACAGGAACCATTATTAGCAATGTCTAATATCTTTTTACCATTCTAGCATTTACTTAGGTGATTAATCAGCCCTGTCTAGAAAGTCATTCGATCCCATTGTACTCCCATAATTCGAAGGAGGTTTCTTCTCATTTAAACAACAGCCACCCCTAGCTTTTCGAATTTCCTTTCAAGTCCTAGGTGTTGTCATGGTTTCACCCATTTGCATCATAAGCACAGCAAGTCGGTTCTGGACTTTCGATGTACGGTTCGTTTGGCGTCTTTTCTTCTTCAGCTGCATTGAAACGGGCGGTTGACATTAATGAGATCCTAATGAACTTTGTTCATAACCTTCGACAGTCACGGTGAGCTCCTAATTATTCAAGGCCTTATTTTCAAATCTTTGAAGTATTAATGACCTTGGCCACCGTCTTTAAACCTGACATTTACGACACCAAGTCAGAAGTGATATTTATTTTCGTAATCCAATCGTCAGGCATCGAATGCACTCAATAACTCTTCTTTAATGTCGAAGATGCAACATATCGTGATGAAAATTGGTGGAAATTTTTCGCCAGATATGGCAATGGCACAATTGCATACATGGAGCCTGTTGTTGCACATTAAAGTATAGTGAAACAAGCATGTTATTGTACTTCATTTTCGTCGCAGTTCAGAGAGCGGTGAATGTGATCTAAACTGCTCCGCCTTCCTAGAGGTGGTGTACGGAGCGTTTGATCACCCCTCGGTGCTCACTCGTCTGACCGCGTTGCGTTGGGTTGAGGTGCTCCTCTCTGTCAACCCGGAGGAAGTTTTTACCAACTCTGGTGAACTCATGCCCCTGCTCCTCAAATTGCTCTCCGACCCCGCTGTTGAGGTAAATCAGCCAAAGTCCTTGGTTGAAGAATAGGTTTTTTAGGTAATGTAAGGAACCACGAGAGGCCTCGTATTTATCTCCTCTTCCCATTTTTTTTTCATAAAAAAGGTGAGTTTTCGGAATTTCAGAGCATCCGCAAACTATGAAAAAAGTAATTCTGACGAATATAATGTCCATTGTGCATCTCGGTGTTGTAATTTAAAGCACTAACCTATTCCAGTCACCAAGGTGGAGGCTTTGAACCTCTGTAAATAAGCCCATAGCCTACTTTTCTATTCTCACGAAATTAGTGGAGGCTGATTTACTTTATGTACAGATATTGTTTATTCGTAGCTGACTTTTCGTTTGTAATCCACTTTGTCCTCAGTAAGTCATTTTGATTTTTTGTTTATTCAAGGGTCTAATTTGACTCACTCTGGCGGTCAAATTTCATGACTGTCGTTAAGCGGCTGAATTCCTGACCTATTCCCGTTTTGAACGAGAAATTTGTCGTGAAACTGTTTGTTGGTGCTCTACTCTCACAACTGACTTGTTCACTTGACATTAACATAAGTACATTACTTGGCCTGGTGAACTTGAACAAATCATGGTTTTCAGTACGAAGGAAATATGCTCATCTTATCGCCTTCATGATCTACTAGTTATTCTCTCCTCTGTTTACGAGGGGTACTTTCATATTCACTGGTTAGGTTGTTCACTCAACCGTTTCACTGGTGGGTAGTCTGTGCAAGCACCCTGTGGCCCATCACGTGTCGGGAGATGATAGGGTCTCGGTGCAGCGTCTTTTCACCAGCCTGATGCGTAAGGGATCCGCGGCGCTGCTGGCGAGTCTTGGTAACACCCTTGAAGTTGATTGTGAACGCGCAAATCTCCTCTGTCTGCGATTCCTCTACGATCTCGTTCAACGTTTCATCAATGACCCTCAGATGCTCAATGAAAAGGGCAATCTCATTGTCACGTGAGCATATGCATTCCAGCCCTCTTCATGCACTCATTCACTCTCCTACTGGTCTGCTCACCTTCCCATCTTGGTTTATTCATCCTCTATCTTTTACATTTCTTCGTCCCCATGCACATTTCTGCATCAATCACATTAACTAGTCATCTGTCCATTCATTCATTTTAGGACTTGATTGGTCCTTTTATCTGCCTTGATTCTTACCGCTTTCCTTTGCTAGCCCATTAACACCATTTTTTGTCACGATGTGCTGGTATCGTGAATGGATCAAATTCAAACAATGACTCCTTTGTCACAGCGAAGCATTTGAGTCCGACTGTCATAATCTTGGTAAAGCATAGCATTGTGACTTGTCTTTAACTACTCTATGCATGCTTTTCAAGATGTCATCATTTTCACTCAGCAGGTGAGCTACACATCTCTCAAGCACCTAGAAAGAGTGTGACATCCACTTTATAAATGGAATTTGGATTCTCCCTTTTGCTTTGGCGCATTGGAGTTGAATGCATGTGAAGGGCCTTTTCGTAATTCCAGAATTCAATGGGTACGCTTATGCCTTTGATTAAGCAACCGTTCATCTTGCTTAACTACTTTCGGATCGCCTCTTCTTTCCTGTAAAATTGTTTGAATGGATGGCGTTGTTGGAAGAAACTGCGCAAATTGTCGAAATTGGTGAACATGATGTAAAAATTTTAGTTATTTCAGCAAGCCTTAAATGAGTCACTTCAGGGTGAGTTTTCCCTCAGAATGCACCGAACATTTGTTATACTTCTCCAGCACTTACAAAGAAATTTTCTTATATCCTTCCCATTTGCGTTTTACGCCTTCGCTCTACGTTCGAGGCAGTGATCTCTGCTTGGCCCTTGGAGCCAAGTCTGTATACTACGTGATGGCCTTAATCGTCTCCAATCTCCTTAAGCCCAAAGAGGCCTTCACCATTGTGCAGACACTCAATCTGATCCTCCTTACCCAGCCCTCCGTCCTCGACTTCCGCGAGTACCTTTACACAATCGACCTTAACGTAAGCAATTTTCCTGTCTATCACGTCTCGAAATGACTCTTCTGCTTCCAGAAGGACGCAGACTTATTTGAAGAACTCTACCGTGCCTGGTCCCACAATCCTGTGGCTCTTCTCGCTTTCTGTCTCCTCACACGCAACTACACACATTGTTGCGAAATCGTCAAATCATTGTATCCTTTCTCCATTTTATTCGCATTGCTCCATTTGCTGTACTTATTTCTTTAGCTCTTATTTTCTTACTCAACTCCTCATTCACTCTAGCGGTGAGCTAAACATGTCTGTGGATATCCTCATGGAGTTGGACCGTCTCATCCAGCTGTTAGAATCGCCAGTGTTTGCAAGTGCTTTGCTTTGAAGTCTTTGTCCATTACTGTCGTTGTTCGCTCTGTCTCGCATTTCTCTATGCTTCAGAACTTCGACTGCATCTCGTTGATAAGAGATACAGTGCTCCGTTACAAGAAACACTTTACTGCCTTCTCATGTGTCTTCCTCAAACTGAGGCCTTTGATACCCTTCGGCGTCGACTTCAATGCCTTCCCAATCACATCCTTAACCAACCGATGAGGTATTGCTCCCTCACACCTTTATTTCGTTGCTTTCCTATTCTTTTGCTCACATTTAAGTCACTCAAAAATGACTGCTTTTCCTGTCTTAGCGATGCATCCCAGCCAACCAAAGTGAATTTTGACGCCCTGTTAGTGCATTTCCGTGAGGTGCAACGTCTGCTCCATGAGACTCGGTTGAGGGATGCGGCTTTGATGGAGGATGCGAAGGGTATCCGAGACGCTACCTTCACAGCTAACACTATGACAGGCACCACTAAAAGCACTGCCTTAGGAGATACTGGTACAACTCCTATCTCAATCGAATTAGGGTTTCTTCAGTCAGAGGGACTGACCAACTCTCTGATGGCCAATTCGACACAATTTCTTATAAAAGTACGTTAAAAAATCAAGGCCGCATAAATTACAAACATACGAGCAGGAATGACCGGGAAATGGTAGCTTTTTAAGTCTAAATTATCCGCCTTTCCTCACCAAGCGAAATCGGAAGTATGCCTCGTTGGAATCAGTACCTCAAATGTGAGAAAGTGTATGAAGGCTCCTGGTTATAGCATATGCTTCAGAGTGGTTGTTTACTGGGCGGGACATGCGAGATATGAGTAGTTCTGACGATGCCATTCCCATTGGAAGCAACTCTCGACAGACGTTCGAGCGTTCTACGTGAGTACGATGAGACAAGTAGGTAAAACGAAGCAACGGTACCCGTTTCTCAACACCCAAGCGTGGTGATTCTCAGGAGGTATTTGGTTTAATGCATCTTCGCTTTTAGGTTATTTCCTATTGGATTCAATGGGTCGATTAAGCCCTTTTTTTCTTTACTTTCAGAGACTTCAGAGACTCGGATTTGAAGTCATACCACCTCACGTATCCTCGAAAAACTAGTCAATCATCTCTATCATTTATGTCTTCTATTTTTTTATGTTAATTTCTTGCAATTGTGCTCCATAAGAATAAGCTACTACTGTGGTTCGCGAACCTTCTTTGCGGGCAAGAGACAGTGATTCAGTTGAAAATGTAGGTTTGATAAAAGGAAACTGATGGGGCTTTTTGTACAAATCGATTGCTAGCCCGCCTAGTGAAGCCAGTGATTAGTTGGAGAATCAGAGTAGTTTCGTTATCCTGTGCCAGCCTTAGTGGTGGCTGCAATTGGTAGACGTTCTCAGAGCTCCACGGGGATGTGATACATAAAGTAGGGAGGTCGAAGGAGCTACGCAGGGCGGCTGTCAAAACCTAGTAACAAAAAAGTGATTAGTTTATCGATGGATGTAGTAATGACTGCGCACTCCGTCTCTAGACCGCCTTAAGTGACATGTGCTTTAGTGACAGTACAGATTCGGCCAGATGGACTAACCTATGGGTCGGTTCAAATTCCACGTCTTTCCATTTAGCCTAAATGTCTGCATTGAATCTTCCAGATCTATTAAGTTTAGAGACGCAAAAAATATGGTGTTTACAAGCTCGCCTATTTTATTGTTACTCCTACAATTGTCTTAGCATCTTTTTTCTGAGTGAGACAAGAAATACGATATACTAACTTCATCAATTTGATTTATTGTAAATAACATAGTAAAGTTTTTGCAATTGTTTCGCCTATTTTTATTAATTTGGCGTGTGCTTGCTCTGTGTTGTGCGTTGATATTCAAAAATTAGGCTGCAAACCCTTATTATTACAGCTATGGATTGCATTTTTCAGATTAAGCGAACAATGTGCAAGGACCAATGGAAGGAAGGACATTATGCCCGCCATATTCATTTACGGGGAGTCGCTGCTCTTGCTTCTTCGCCTTTGTGATTTGGAGTAGTCTTGAGTAGCACCACCTAGAGTCTTCAAGATGATGCCACTTCAGCGCCACATCAAAAATGTTGTTCACAACTACACAGAAGCAGAACGGAAAGTACGCGAAGCTACTTCAAATGATCCATGGGGCCCAAGTAGCACATTAATGTCTGAAATTGCGGATAGAACTTACAACGTCATCGCATTTACCGAAATTATGCAGATGATTTGGAGGAGGTTAAATGACAAAAGTAAAAACTGGCGGCACGTATATAAAGCTCTCATTCTTCTGGAATACATCATAAAAACGGGCAGTGACAAGGTCGCCGTTCAATGCAGAGAGAATATACACGCCATCGAGACTCTCATGGTAAGCCTCAATATTGTTAGAGGCACGGAGTTGACTGATTTTATGCATGTGACCAAAACAAAGAATTGCCAATTGTGCAGTTGTACCAGCCCTTTTTTATTGTTTATTAATGCTATTGGGATTGTAGAACCGCGACTTTATGCCGCAAGGGTTTAACAGCTTACACTGATCGTATTGCTTTTTGAAATAATTGGGTCCTTATTAGTTAGTCATCCTTTGAATTTGACGTGGAACATTTTTGATCTTTATTCACACCAGTTGGTCTCCATTTGCCAAGTTTTGTGCCTACTTTTATTGAATTGTCATGTTTGGGTGCAAAAGTGAACATTTAATGCTGGTGGTACTTTATTGCTATCTGATTTTATGTTCAGGGCCTTTTGTGCACAAGCTTCGAATAACGTCAACTTTCATCTGGATGTTTTTTTAAACAAGTCTTCTTCAAGTTGTTTTTCTGCCCGATCCAATCCTGCTAAGTGTTGTAGGTGTTAATAAAAACCCTATCCTTAGGCCTTCGCTGTTTGGAGATTTACTCTTACCGTCCCTTTGAGTCGCCACGGTTCAAATCATTTTAATTTTGTGCGTTTCGAAAAATGTTTACTTATTCTTTCAAATTGTTGAATTCTCATTGAATTCGCATTCAAATTCATATCATTTAGTTATTCATTGTTATAGTGTGCGCCCAGTTAATGCATGTTACCTTCTCAGCACTGCTGTCCATGGCATTGGTGGTCGTCATCTTTCAGGTGCTTCATGCAAATTCTTTGGACTTTCCTATAAGACTGTTGTTCCCTTAACTCTGTCTAGTTTGTAAATTAGCTTTGCCCCACATCTAAATGAATCATGTGTAGGTGATTGGTAAATCGGTCTGGCTTTTCAAATTTCTCATAGTGGAATGGGCCTTGCATTGCTTCCATCTTCCAAATCATTTCTAGCCCCACTATCTTTATTAACCTTAAAACCATGGTACACTTTCATGTTGTATCATACTTTCGACGATCTCTTAAATAAGGATTTTAGTCCAGGTGTAATTTAAACTTTACTTGAAATGTTGCTTGTAAGATCGCACATTTTTTCATTTACAGCCATTGATCGAAATATTAGTGAGTTAAAACATATCAAGAGTAATCCATCTTTTTTCCCTTATTCCAGACTACTTTTTCATTTCGAAACCGCTATCAATAAGGAGTTAAATTGAAGTTAGACTTACATTCATCAAATCAGAAGTTGCTCCTTTCTTAACCCAATGGAACTACAACTGTGGCGAGTTATTAGGGATTGATCGTCTGCCGGATTTCCATAGGTAGAGTGCATTTAAATAGGACGCAACGCTACTCTACATCTTTGCATCAGAAACTAATGTATGGAAATAATTTTTTTGGGTTTTTCTACCTATATAGAGGCTAAATTGACATCTTTTGGTAGTGTACTCGAAAGGTAATGGTTGGCGAGTCTAGTTACACTTAAACTTTACTCATTTCAGTACGTCAAATGAGTAGCTTTTCACTGCGATGCATATAGTTCTGTTTGCTAAAAGCAAAATAATCTCTGAAATGGAGGTCTCAGATTACCAACGAGCAATCCAAAACAGTTCGCTCCTTTACTCTTCAAGAGGGAACTTTGATTACATGGAGAATTTTAATGCTGTTGAAGGTTTCCCTTAGTTGTGTAGCCCCTTGATAAGACACAGAAACCAATTTTCTCTGGCAAGCTACACGTATTTGGAGATGGTGGACAAGTGAGGTAGAGTGGGCTGACGCAGCCGGTTGGTTTGTGGTCCTTAAGGATTTCTACTATGTGGAAGACGGAAAAGACGTGGGGAATAGTGTGCGCGAAAAGGCGCGTAGTCTTAATGCATTGCTGCGTGACGAGGAACGACTCCAGGAGGAGCGGGCAAAGGCGCTACTTGCCCGCGAGCGTCTCATGCATGGTGGAGCCCTCGGGACCTCCGCCGCCGCTGCCTCAGCCTACTCTCCTCCTCTCTCCTTCCCTCGAGCTGCTTCCGCCTTCGGTGATGATCGCCGTCCTTCTTCCCAGCCCTCCTCACTCTCTGCTGCTACTGGTAGGCTGCCTCGTTCAATATTTTTGCTTGTGATCCTTGTAGCTGTTTTTTTACTAAAATGTGTTTGTGGCAGCAGTTCTCAAGTTAGGCTACCTTTGGAGCGCTCAGTTTAAGTTCGTTCACTATTAGATTATAGTCACTATGTCTCCCCTAAATTTATGCAGCTTCGGTAAGAGTTTTCGCGCTTTTTGATAACTATTAGTGTAAATACTTTCAGGCTTGTGACTTCTCCCTGAGTTATCATTTCCAATTCGGTTGTTGTAAGTTCATCTAATAGATTGATTAACTAGAAATGATACCATACTTTCTTCCTCATCTGTTTAATCTCGTGCTTCCAGTTCCCAAATTGCAGTGGCCACTTCTTACTTGGCAGAGGAAAAGGCGTTGAAACGGTTCTAAGGATTGAGGTGCTTTAAGTACTGCTTACTACACTACCTCTCCATGCTTGTTCTCATTTGTGGAGTACAAAAGCTTGTGCGTGGCTTTGTTTCCAAATGCCATCTTTTGAAGAATAGTAATCGGTTTATTTTGAAAGAAGATTATCACCGCGAGGAAATTTATAGGATACGCAAATTTGAACGTCGTCACCCCTAATTTCTGTTCGACCTGAGCCTAATCAACCCTGTGCGAGTTCCATACCCTGGATAACAGTGCCAATTTTACTGCGAATTTGCCTCCACCATGTGTTTTGTGTTTGAAAGCCAGTTTTTGGAATTTGTTCTTTGGAGTCGGTTATTCACATGGCGCGACATTTTGGTTCTCCTGTCGTGTGTTCTGGTTCGTGCGCGTTCTGTGGTTCACTCGCCGATGCATTTTTTTAGGTTACTGTTGCCATTATTGAGGTCTAAATTACCTTTTAAGCTGTCAAACGACTGAGGGATTAATATGATCGCCTACATATGCAGTTGGCAGAGATTTGTGGCATAAATAGTTTGGAGAAAACATCATACTACCAAATTGAGGGTTTGGGGAGGTTTCGGCATTGCCATTCCATTGTTAGAATTTTTCTTTCGTACGCTCGTTATGGTAAGCTGTAAGTGTTGGTGCTTTCGGGTGTTTTAGATGCTTACCTCTTTTACATTTGTGTATCAGCATCAGGTTTCGCATTGACAATAACTGTACTAGAATCGTCCGAATCTGGACTACTCGCTAACTCTGCATACTCTTTTTGTATGTGGGCTGTTTGTCTACATTATCATCATTGTGCTTCTTACATTAAGGGCTTTCCACTCGTAATGCAGACGTGTTCCAATGCTGCACTGCAAATTCGTTACTCAGTCCATTTTTCTTCCTCCGACTGCGTTATCAGCCTTAAAGTGCTTCTGTAACAGACTTCGTTCGATTTTTCATGGTCTATTTGGATGTACTTGCGGGTCGTGATACAGGCTGCTTCACGTCACTGCCAACGGGACCTTCCCTTTTATGCTTGAATGTTTTCTTTATTGTACATTTTCTGTATGCACTTTGTAGCATAAGAAACTGGTTTACTTTAAAGTTCTGTAGCCTAGCTGAATTTACAAACCCCATTTGTACTAATTTTGGTTTACCAAAAGCAGTCAATCCTTTGTACTTGGCTCGTGATCGTTCCTTCTCGATATGAAAGCTGTTCGTGGGTGTTGTGTTTCCTCACGTGGTTGTTGCCTCTGTTCCGCTGCAGGTGCATTCTCAAACAAATCAGACGTCCAAGTTTTTTTGAGGTCATTTGTCCCCTGCCAAATTCGCGGTTTTCCGGAGGCATGCACTAGTGCATCTAGATGTACAGGATGGAATCCGGGTGGGTAGCCAGCCTATACCTCCTTCTTATGGGTACAAGTTTTGTTCACTTCTATGGGTTTTGCCTCTTTGATGTCAACCCCCTCATGTATGTGTGCCCCTCTTCGTTATGAGAAGCCTTGGTTTTTTTTACTCCATTATGCACCTTTGTGATTTCTTCCGTTTTCTCTGTCAAGTCCAATTAATTATCGTTACCTTCTAGTACTGCTCTAATAATGCTTTAGTGAAGTAGAGGCACGCCAACTTACCTAATCGCCATTGAGTCCACCCATTTGGAAGTTCACTGTGCCTGTTCTGGTTGTTAAAGAGCTAGCAGTATTTTTATTTAGCCTTCAAGATTTATCTTTTATTGCGGGCATCCATTTGTGCCGTTAACACTACATACACGTGCAGGGGACACAAAGTGAGGTGCCCCTTCATGTCTGTACAATGGTGCAATGCACATAAAGGCGTGGCTTTAGTTTGTCTCTCTGAGGTGACTTTTCGCCGCCAATTCCCCTCATCTTTCTGGAGTTCTCTTCTCACCTCTTTTAATAGAACCAATTCGTCGAGGTTTAGGAGGAAAATTCGAAACTTCAATGTAATGTCAAATTCACTCGTTTTCTAGTGTGTATTTTTCTTATAAATAGGATGTTTTGTCGCCGTAGGTACGGTTTATGCAGTGGTGCAATCCTGCTTTGTTTCGTCTCCCTAATTTATGGTCGCTATATTAAATTGTGCCTGGAAAGGTGCCAACTGTCTCTGGTAGTCTCAAAATGGCTCAGACTGGAACTCTGCCAAAGTTTGGCTCAAAGGTTTGGATTTTTCCACAAAACGTTGGTATTTTTATTTGAGAACACTGTTGTATTTAATCTTGGAGACGACCAATGGCGATGTATTCTTCAACATTTTTAAGATTCAGAGAAACGGCTCGCTATTGCAATCTCTTAACGCTACCGGGTAGACTTTAGGAGAATCCGGAACCTGCTTGTTTATGTCCCACTTGTTAGCATGCTTAACCACCGGATTTGAATTCTTTTTTTTTGTCTACTAGGCTGGAGAATCGTTTTTTATTGCATCCTCTGATGTCTCCGCATTGAGTCTTCCATTCCCCTTCTTGGCTGTCCTAGGATCCAGAGCGCATTAATTTCTTTAACTAAAAAGTTGTTCTCTTTTGTGATCGCGATTTATCAAGGGACCTCTGGGTCCGCCTGGCTGGCAGGATAATGTTTATCCAAAGCATCAGTGTGTATGCATGTGGACATATACGTTCGCATTCACGTACTCAGGTGAAATTTGTTCGACCTGCTAGAGTAACAGTTCATATGTGTTTGTGAGTTGACCTCGCCCGAAACATTTTCGCGTCTCTTGTTCTATGCATTGAACCAGGATTGCCTTCGTCTCTAGATCAATGCAACTTTCGGTTCCACCACGTGTCTGCTGCATAGCATCTCAATGCATGCGAAAAAATTGTGCGACATTCTGATCAATTTATGCTTGATGACAACATTCTAGGCATTCTATTATGCAGCCTAATTTTTTGAAGCATTCATTTCACTTAGCAATGCTTGTGGAAAAGTGACTTGGATTGCCAAATTTCCCTGTCATGTCTCGTTGCATTCACTACACTTCAGTTACCATGTCCCCGAAATTTCGTGTGGAGTGCTTTTCACTGCGCAGTTGATGTGCTGATACAGAATCATTGCCTGATGCAGGCATGATAGATTAAATTGTGGTAGTTACGGCTTCGGTTCACACACTTCTGCCTATTGTCTACCCCCTCAAGTTGAGGCATAACTTCCAAGTCGCAGAGGCGGGTCTCACGCTTTCATTTCCAAGGTCACGACGTTCATTTAGAGTTTCAGGCTTGTCTACGTTTAAATCAATTTCGTGATAATTTTGAGTGCAAGATGCATAAAAGGAGCTAAAGCATTAACATAGGCAATCGGATGCACAAATTGAAAGGGTATTAAGCAAGGCAATTTTTTGTAAGAAACGTCAACGGGGAGTGTTTTGTTGTAAGGACTTTGTTCTGGCGGGTAGCCCCCATTCCTGAGTGGAAAGTGGGATGTGAAATTTGTGCTATCCGTGACGGAATTGGCATCGGGCTTCAATCCAATCGTTAGTTTCTAGGGCAAAGGACTGGATTGTCCCTACCACAAATGTGAGGTAGAATTGTATTGTTGTTTGTTTGCTTCAGAATTGCTGGTTTTGGGTTTTGTCTTGTGTCTGCACTGTCCTCTTCATTTTCTGCTTCTTCGGAACAAAGGTCTTATGCTATCCGAACGTTTTCCCCCTCTCAACGTTTTTCGTCACCCAATCACCTTAACTCTCAGTTGACAAAACTACAGTAGAGCGATGACCAAACTGTTCTGGTTAATATTTTATTTACTATGTTGCCTCTCCATCTTTGATCTTGACCACTTAGGATGTACTCGTAGAATGCACTTTTGGAAAAGGAGCACTTATCGGTTGGGTATGTGTATGTGATTGAGTAGTTTATGTAGCCACCAGGCGCCACATTCCCATTACAAATGTTCTCATATTTGCTATGGTAGTAATTAAAATGGTCTACAGTCTGGGTGTTCTCCTTTGTGTGAACTTGAATACAAAGTCCGCCTTTCTCCTCTGTTAGGTGGCATCTCTAGTGACTTGGATTCTGCACAACCACAGTCTTACACGGAGGAGCAGTTACAACTTCAACTAGCTCTTGCCATCAGCAAGGAAGAGCACGAACGGGAGCTACAGAAGCGGCACGAGGAGGAGGCTAAGGAGGCCCTAAAACTTCAGATGGTCCTAGAGCAGAGCAAGCGCGAAGAACAGGTCAGTTTCTCCTTCCTTCCCTATTCCTCATTAATTCTTGCTCGCGCTACGTTAGATGCTGCAGGCTTGCCTAGCATGATAGAAATGCACTACACTTTGGTCCATTACAAAGGTTGGGATTGTGTTGGGTTTCACGACTAGAAATCCCAGATCTTTGAGCGTTTACAGTAGCTAATGCTCTGCACATAGGAAAGGATTGTAAAGCTCTTAAAACGAAATTGCCACTCCTGCAATTGTTATCACCAAAGTCACTATAAAAAGGACACACCTGAAGTGTAAGATGTTGGGCGGAGATGAAGGGAGAACTCATGTTATTAGTCAACAAGGTAATTCTTGTCAGTGCTTGCTAAAATGACTGCACACGTGTGTCACCGTGGCGTCGAGAACTGCGCACATTTTCGCGCATTCTCTCGGGCCAAGAAAGGTGAGCCACAGTCTTGCACATCCACACACCAACACACACGTTGGTCATCGCGCTCTCACGTACACACATTCGTACACACAAACTTGTTTATCCACAACATCTTGGCGCATTTCTAATGTCAACGAGACCCCTTAGGCAATCGATTCCATCCACGTAGGCACAAGCCACTGCGAAGATTGCAATCTCTATTGGCTATTCAATTTGTCCGAGGTCGGGTCAACCCGTCCTCTATGTAGCAGTCAGATTTCATCGCCGGAAGGGTTGTAGAGATATCGGTTTCTACGCCTTCGCCCCACTTCTTGTCCCACGACTTAAAAGTAATCAGGAGTTGTTCATTTCTGGTACACAATTTCTGTATAGTCCTGTGAAAATGAGTTATGTGATCTCTAAATTTGCCAGGCGAGGTAGGAGTCTTGGTTTCTAGCTCAAAACAGTGTAAAAAACTGGGTCATTTTTCCAAAGTATCCAGTTTTTTGTTCATGAATACGGACTGTCGATTTGTTATTGCATGAACGGTTATTGCTAGTTATGACAATCACTGCTTGCCATTTTGTGTCGAATTTTCCTCCAACAGCTTCTAAAAGTCTATCATGGTTTTACAAAGGCTGCACCGTATACACCAATGCACCAGTGATCTGGAAGGCTAGCAGTAGAGATTATGCTAATAGAGCACCATATCAACAGCATAAATGCTGATTTGTTGAAGTTCTCAAGGTACCTACAACTAAAAGGAATGCGGCATTGGTTCTAAATGAGAATTTTATGGCATTGAGAGGCAAAATGAGGCCTTGTTTGCTGCCGCCAAGAGAGTGTCTTTGTTCATTCACACTGCAACGATAGTACATCACTGAAGGCGATGTCATATGTTTCATGTCGACGTCATTTCTATTAGTCGTAATGTAAAGCCTTCACAGATGCAACCAATACCACTGTTTACTCCAGAGCAGGCCATCATCCCTTCATCGTACTTATGGAAGGTTTTTCCTCCTCATTTCTTGTCAATTCACTGCTTGATTGCCTACTGGACTCCGCCCACATTCCGTTATTAATTTTGACCTCCCCTCGACTCCACTGTAACCATTAGGCATTTGCAACACCTCTACCGTTTAACTTCTCCGACCTGTCGTTGAAAAATGTGGCTACGTTGGACCAGAATACGAGGTAAAAGGATGGCCAAAGATATTGCAGGGATGATCACGAAGAGGTTTGATTTGTCTACAGCAATCAAAGCCAGTTAGTGTTTATATGCGTTCTCGCTAAGGCGCAAACAACTCTCCTTCTTTCCCTTTAGCAAATGTATGTTAGGTTATTCTTATTGTCGCAATTTTACTTTTTTTGGTCATCTAGCTAGAATGAAGCGGAATTAGCTCACTCTGCCACTGTAACTTTTGAATTGTGAGAGGCTGAAAGGCAAATGTGGCGAAATACCCTAGGTCCGATTATAAATTGGTACTGAAGCGCGATTCGAGGCCACAGTTATGAATAATAGGACAGTGATTGTAATCTAGAGATTTCATAACACACTGCAGTAGAATAAGATAGGTATTTTTGAAATTGCGCTACCTTTATTATTTCTCACATGTCTTGGTTGTTTGCTATGAAGAATCCGTGTGACTGGGAATACAATCGGTGGGGCATCACAGTGATGGAAGCACTGCTTTTTCTCTTCTGTCAATTTACTCATTGGTTTTATCGTAACACTTTCTCCTGCATCAATTTGTGCTTCCTTTTTGCTAGTTCATTGCAGACAGTAACGTGTCCGTTGCTCTCAGTGCTCCTTGTTGCAGGGAAATCGAAGCATTCAAACAAAATTTCCAGGCGGCAAAGTAATACCGTTGACGGCCTTTTAGTCATGTTTCATAAATACAACGCGGAGGAGTCCGTATCCCCATTATCATGATGTGCTAAAAGAGCTTGTAGAGCGAAATATACGTGGAAGGAGAAGGGCATGATCGTGAATTGGGTCCGTGAATAGCTTCATGTTCATTGAGATTATATGAACCTATATTTGATGGTTTTTTATCTGCGTCGCATTCCATGCTTCTGCAGAACCGCTCAGCAGCAGCCTCTTCACTTATTTCGGAGGCTAATTCGACCGGCGGTGGTGGCTCTACCTCACTGACAGGCAATGGGGGAGGCCTCTTCAGCCTAATTGATACGTCACTCTCTGCCGCACCGGCCAATGTGCCCGATCCTTGGTCTACCATCGTCCCTGCTCCTGCCACGGCTACCACCGTCCCCAGCAATAGCAATAATAGCAATGCCCTCGTCGCTGCCACTCTGCCCTTGGATAATTCCACTCACCTCCAGTCAAACAACACCAACAGCAGTGGTGGCGTTGGAAACCAACTCAGCCTCATTGACTCTCCCTGGACTCCCAAGGGTGGGTCCACCGTGTAAACAGTCTGCCTATTTAAAGTGCATTGACTCTTGTACTGAATCAAAGCCTTGCCTACTGTTTATCTAGTGGCAACTATTCCTTCACAATCTTAGTGCCTTAAAAAGTTCATAATTATTTGGTGTAAGGCTTTTCGTCGTCGCCTGCAGACTGCGTTCCCGGCAGTTGCATTTAGGCACCCTGTAACTCTAAAAATCAAAGAGTAAAGATAATGAAATGTAGATTGGATGAAATTAACCAAATTGCTTTCCAAGGCAGAGGATCTCAGTAACAGCTTGTGAGGGCACATTGTTCCCTTTTTTGCGCTTTTATTTGATGCAGCTACAAGATAAATGAGCCAGGCTTGTAAATTTCGCTTCCACTTGAATGAGCGCTGTCTGGCATGAAGGGGAAGACTCCCGTTTGCCTTTTTACTGCTTATTACTGCAAGTATGCAATCTGACACCTCAACGTTTTAAACCACTTAAGGCAATCCTGTCAGATAATGCGAGTGACATTGTTTGAACTGTTTTTACAAGAATTTAAGTTGCTTATTTTATTTGCCTTGGCATGAGCAAACAAATGTTGGCATTATGGTTGCCTTTTAGCCCTTATTCACACAGTCATGACATTTTACACTTCATTAGTGCTTTGTACAGGTTTTTAATTGCTTGAACTGGAAGTAAGGTCTTTTGGATGTTCTGAATCTATCTTCCATGAAGGGTGTCTGTCTTCCATGTATTTTAGTGATCTTTCAATGTTTTCTCTTGATTGGGAGTTTGGCGCAATCCTGTGTAGTCAACAGACCATCATAATCTTTACCTTCGGGAACTTGAAACTATCATCTTGTTTTCCTGTATTCATTAGGAACCTGTCAGTGTTGCTAGTGTTGAGCAAAGTGTCCGCTGTGTTCTTATTGCTCTTTCCTTTGTACAGAAACCCTGCAGTCCCAACAATCACACACCGTTCCGGTTGCAAATAACAACCCCTGGGCTGCATTAGATCCCGTTGAGGCAGTCTTTCCTTCTACTGGCTCCACATTCGCTCAGAATGGCACTAGCAGCTGTGTCGGTCCTATTACCAACGCTGTTGTCACTGCTACACCAACTGCGGCGTCCACTACCTCATCAAACGATGCAGCGGCACCGTCAGCACCTGCGGCGACGGGTACACCGATGCGTAAACGCACACCCGCTGACTTCTTAGGGGACCATAAGGACCTTGTGGATTTGGAGAAATTGGTGGATCGAAATCCAGGTTCGTTTGTTTCCCAGTTTTCTGCTTTTGGCAGTTTTTGCTTCCTTGTCGATATTGGGTTTTGATTTTCTTCTCTCTATGTGTCTTTTAGGACGTTCGAAACATTTCGGTTTGTTTGCAGCCGCTGCTATGCGTTCTGATCTGCTTTTTATTTGCATATCTCTTTTGAAATTGTAGTGGGATAATTCCACCTTTCTCCTTCACCTTTCTTATTCAGCTTCCACAAATCCCTTCGCGACAAGTACGCGTTCACTGACGGGACAGTCGACGAACCCCTTTAGTGCAAATCAACCGCCAAAACCGTCGTTGAATCAACTAAGTTCTGCTGCTGCCGCTGCCGCTGCTAACGGAATAGCAATGAACACTTTGGGGAGTCGATCGTCCTCAGCTTTCACCTCCTTCACGCCCCAACGCTCTCCCTTTATGACTTCCGGATCTATCTTCTTTCCCGGTCAGGTAGCTCCCGCCTCCACCGGTGCCCCACAACAACCACAGCTGCCACAACAACAACAACAAAGCCTCAACCCTTTCTTCTGATCCCACTTCTCGGCCGCCCATATCCCTATCCACCACCTGAAAGACTGGCCTACTGTCGTCGGACTGACAATCCATGTTGCATGTCTCCTTCACTTCTTTCTCCCCTTACTTCCTTCTCCCAACTGTTACCTGAAATAAGGAGCGGAAATATTTATGCAATCGTTTAGCGCGATGATCTCATACTTTCTCTCCTGATTTATTCTCCCTTTGCTTTTATTCGACCTCTCTTTAGTCCTTTTCCTTCTCCATATCTTCCATCATTAATTGAGCGTGTTTCCATTACAAGTAATTATTAAAGTATTATATCATCGCTTGTGGTTGTATTTTTCTTTGTTGGGGCCTCAGGTTCGTCTAGAAATAATGATTGACTTCGTTTTAGTGCACTCTTATCGCCTACAAACCAGTTACTCACTGCTTTAAATATGCTTCCCGTAATTATCATCATTCATTTTGTTCTTGGAAGGTTCGGATCAAATCAGAGGGTGAGGACTGCACTTTTTTTTGAAACTTTAAGTTGCTTCTCTTACCTCACCCCCTAACTACCGTCTGGTTTACTTTAATGTGACTTTGTTAGCTCAGTGGGATTTGCTCAATGTGAATTGTCCTTTTAAAGTTAGTTCTTTTTCTTTTTTTTAAGATTATGCGTTACCAAATGAGCGGTATATTGCACCCCGAGGAATGAGCCTGTTCCGTGTCCTGGGCGTCATTACGCTAAAGGTTGGCAATGAGGTAAGCACAGCTGACCTTTCAATATTTACGTCATTTCAGTGACCTAATTTGACTAAGCGTTCTGGCATCGTACCGATCACAAGTTATTCTATTTGGTTCTGATCACTCTCGGCTACGAGGTCTGAACTAGCCCATCATGTGGGCTCACAAATTGAAGGTCCAGATTGGCTTGGAATCGGGAGATTCAACATCAAATTATCCGTTGATAGGCTATAAATAATTCTTACCATCACAGTCACTTGTTGCACGACTATATCATCCGCGTTGGCAACGCCTCCGTACCTCAGTGATTTCTTGAATGAAGGCATGGCGTCATTGATGTTGTCTGTGGCCTTGTTTAAGATCTTCTCGATTTAAAATCATGTTCAAGTCAAGTAGGCACTTGGCCAATCTCTCTGTGCGGATACAATGTCGGCACTCGGACATGGATTAACGATGCGAAGTCGAACATAAGATACTTTTTAGCCATATGGAACCCAGCTGTATCATTTGAGCAACTTTGCTGTCGCGGTGAATTAAATATTCCTTAAGGGTGAATTCAATTTCATCCGTAGTTTTCCGCAAGTTCAGCACGGTGTTCCCTCACATTACGAGAGACGAAATGAGGCGATGTTAAAGTATCAAAAATTGATACTCATTGTGCTTGAATTAAATTGTAAGAATTGAGGCGCCTTCCTGAAACTCTGACGTCTCTGAAGAGTGGATGTCTCATGGAGGCTTTTTGTTAAAAGGCTTTGGTGAGCTAATTCTTCACTTCCCACGAACAACAACACTGAGCATGTGAGATGGATGGGCCTCCCTTTTCGACAACCTTGAAATGCCCTTACCTTATCCCTCTAGAGGTGTTTACTTTATCGAGCTCAGAACGAGAAGTATGCATCGATGGTTCTACCACGACAGGGACACTTGTCCTCATGTCGCTGCATTTCACCAGCTTTGTACCGCCTGGTGTAACTCAAGAGTTGGGGAGTTACTTCTTTGATAGCCCGAAAAATCAGCCGATGACGACCTCAAGCTCAAGGCCACGAACAACACTCATGGTTTTTCAATCCTCCTGCTTAAGACGATCGCAGATGTATTCTCCTCCATTGTTTGGCCTAGTTTTATGTTCTCTCACCTTTGGAAGGGCTCCTAAAGCGGTTTCAAGCCGCTTTTTTTCCCATTATCAGATGCGGTTCAGTCGCCTTCCATGATGCACTGTTGGAGAGAAATGTCTGTCAATTTGCTCATAAAAAAGGGGGCAGAAATGCTGAGGCTTCATTAAGCAAATTACCAGGGCAAATTTTAATTTTTTTTGAGCTTACAATTAGTTCTTTCACTCCTCTACTAACTGTCAAAGTCAGAGTGGATAAATGTAGAGATACTTTGGCACTAAGTAAATTAAATTTTGAAGTGAAACAGACTACCGATCGCACTGCTGCCAACTCACACGACCCTTTGGGACAAGTGACCTTGTGGACGCTCCAGCATCAATGGAATGCACGCAAGAATCACTTCTTGTTGAGGTCACTTGTTCTCTCATCAAGATATCTTCTATTGAGACATTGAATTTTGACCTTTCCTAATTCTGTTTGCTCTTTTTTGTAATAAGTGCTAACTCCCCTTCAAAAATATTAGTCGGTGAAGTTGACAATCTGAAGTAACCACCCCTTCGAAACCAATTCAATTCAACCAATTCCAAATTCAGCAGAGTGAAGAATGTTGAATGTTCGTCTCGTGGTAGCTTGCTTTCTCCAGACCTTGGTCGTCTGGGTGACATACGACATTGTAGAACTCAAACTCTTGGAAGAGTCTGTAGAGGCAAGGTACTTCACTGAAGGATGGCTTTTTGCTCTGTGGGATTTCCAGACGCAAAAATTCCACCATTGCAGAAAATAACTGCCCTAATTTTATGGCAAAACTTGTGGCAACCCTTCCGATGCCGAAAGTTGTCGGGCATTTGGTGAACATTGGAGTGTGTAATCATTACCGGTAGGAGATCACATAGGCAGAGGCAGAGGAGGAGGAGGAGGAGGCAAGTGGCTATTGTATTGCTTGATATTTATGTCTTCCACTTTTACCGACTCAGCTTCTCCCCTACCTACTAAAATCACTTCCTTTTAATTACCACATGAATGAGGAACACTGATCAATCTTCAAAGAAGACAACACTAAATTCTTATAGCCTTTTTCTCAGTTCGTCAATCTGCTCTTTCGTTGCGTCTGCTAGACACGACTGTCGTAAAGAATTGCGTAGCTTTCTTCGAGGGTAACATGGAGTGGTGTCGATAGACTTCAAGACTTTTCACGCCTCTTCTTCAACAATCACTGAAAGACATCCTCGCTGTGTAAAGGCGAATATTCACCTCTGTAGCCCTCAAAGTCGGGAGGTGGAGTCCTATATGTGTCCTAAACCCGCTGTCACGCGCACGACGCATTAAGACAAACTTCGAGAGGTTTTAATGCCACATTTGCAGTAGTAGTAGTTATAACAGTAAAATTTTTTTGTTGTTAGTCGTTTGAATGAGGGGAGGAGTGGAGTAGAGGAGGAAGAAATATCAAT